CACCTTTGATTATTATTATTACTATTACTATTTTTAAAAATAATTTATTCACTTTTATTTCATTTGCATTGGTATTTTGCCTGCCTATATGTCTGTGTGAGGGTGTCAGATCTTGGAGTTAGAGACAGTTGTGAGCTGCCATGTGGGTGCTGGGAATTGAACCCAGCTCCTCTGGAAGATCAGTCAGTGCTCTTAACTTTTGAGCCATCTCTCCAGCCCTATTATTATTATTATTATTATTATTATTATTTGTTTTTTTGAGACAGAGTTTCTCTGTGTAACAGTTCTGACTGTCCTGAAGTTTGCTTTGTAGACCGGCTCTTCCTCAGATTTCTGTCTTGACCTAGCTCTGAATTTCTTTGTCCCATGATAAACCGTAGGAGACACCACAGGAGTCCTCCATAAATGGGAGGAAGGAGGTGAAGAGAGGCAAGGCAAAGGAAGCACTTAGGCTCTAGCTTCCATGTCTGCATTGTGCAGCCTTCAGAAGAATCTTTAGGAAGAGGGTTTGGGAGCTCTAACAACTGAGCTCATGGAGAGTCCCGGAGGTAGGAGCCGGAAGCCCTGAGCCTTTCCCTGCGCCTCACTGTGTGTACCACTCCAACTCTTTCTTTTGTAAAATCCTTCATAGGCAACTAGCAAGCATGCTTAGTGCTTCACTGATTTGGAGAGACACCCAGCAGTTCGTCTGAACTTAAATTGAAGGTTGTGGGAACTCCGGCTTAAGGTTATAAGCACAGGGAAAAAGCGCTGGAACTTGTGTAGGGCACCAGGGTGGCTCTGGGGACCAAGCCCTCAACTTAAGGGCTCACGGGATACTCTGGTTAGATCATGTCACTACAGCTAGAGTTCACTTACTTGCTTAGTATGTGGGGGATAAAGTCTTACACATCTGGTTTCAACTGAAGCTTGTGTAGGGCACCAGGGAGGCAGCTGGGACTGACGCCTGGGCCTGTGGGATCAGAGGGTACTCTAGGTAGATTATGCCACTGTGGTTTGCTTGCTAGTTTGGTATGTGGGGATCAACTCATACACATCTGGCTCCAGAAGTCTTTGTGTTGACAATTCTACAAGACACCCTGTTCTTCACAGCATTTTTCCTTTTGTTCCAGTGCTTTCTACATCTCACAGGAGAAAAACAGGTTTCTCCTCGAGCTAGTATTTCCTCAGATATTTATGAATCCACAAACCTGGGTTCTATGTACATGGTACCTCTTCCTCCATCTACTCTCTTCAATCCATAGTGGGAGATAACAAGTCCACACACTGTCTTTTCCAGTGACCAAATCCTATTACATGAATGTATTTAAGCATCGATGGCATTTAGATTGTCTTCAGTTTTCTGCTAATGTACACAACACTGTAACATCCAGCCATGCACTCACTCCATAATGACATTTAGGACCAGAAAGGACTGGATGTTCAGTGGGGTCCCATAAAGTAGTCTTGTGTCATGATGTTATAGCTGTCTGAGTGACCAGATTTGCAGGATAGGAAACTGCCTAGCAATGCACTTTTAAGATCATATCTGTGACATGTGACTGTAATTTAATCTTTGCTGTACTGGAAGTTATTTTAGAGTAGGGAATGAAGTGGGAACACAAATTTACCTTTACCTAGAAGGCTATAAACTTAAAGAGATTTATGGGATACTCTTTTACACCTAATCTTGAAGTCCTCCTTTATAAGCAACTTTTGAATTAAAGACTAAACTTGTGAAGTATCTATAACTTTATCTTAAATGTACTTAAATGTTTTAATTATGGGCTTATTATGGTGTTTTGAGATATCTGTCAGTTTTTTTTTCTTTCAGAACTTTCTTCTGTGTAGTAAAATTCTAAAGTAAAAAGTAGGTATAGACTACTTTGAAACACGATGAGTCCTTCCTTTTTCTCTGATTTCATCTGGGTTGGTTATTCAGGTTGTGGATCAGGATGGCCACTTGGTTTGATTTGAAGGCTATCATTTGCTTTTACTGTATACACCAATGTGGCAAATCACTGCTTAAGGTGGTTTGGCAATGGGCACACCACAATTCTCCAGGTTTTCTAAATACTTACCACAGAGAAGCATAATAGCCCATGGGATGGATTGAGATGGTAAGTACTGAATTTGCCAAATCAATCTCATTGTGGGTGTGTTGCTATGAACCCAGGGTTCTGTACATGCCAGGCATTACCACTGAGGGACGTATATACCTAGTTTTCACACATTTTAGTACTTAGCTGTGAGCCTCTGGCCAGGCCTGTGAAGGACTACGCAGATAAGGTTGTCTGAGTGTGAAGACCGGCACCCTGAAGGAGGGCAGTGCCTTTCCCCACAGTTGGATCCTGGACTGCATTAAGAGAAAGTTGAGCACAGGGGTTCACTGCGCTCTCTTCCTGATTGTGGACCCAGTGTGACACGTGCATCAAGTTGTGTCACCCTGATTTCTCCACCGACTGTACCCTCAACCTGTGAGCTGAAATTAGCCTTTCAAGTTGTTGAGTAGTTTATTACACACAGCAACAAGGAGTAAGAGAGCAACTCTGGTGTCCCCATCTTAAACAACAAATGGAAAGCCAAGTTGTTCTAATTCTGAAGGTATGTATTTACATTAGAAGCATCAGGCCAAGGACCGGCAAGATGGCTCATGTGAGTAAAGGCCCTTGTTGAGAAAGCCCAGAACATACCCAAAGGTGGAAGGAAAGAACTAACTTACACACACACACACACACACACACACACACACACACACACACACACACACGAAAAAAATGTACAGGCTACTTTCTAACAAATCACTGTCACTTTTAGAAGTTCCTCTTCTGTACAAGCTGGCGAGGGTGGCATGGAACACTCATTTTCACAGTCCTTTGGCTCTATGTGGTGTCAGGCTGCCAAGATTTGTAAGCACATCACATTTTTTTTCACATTTGTATGCTTCTGTTGTTGATTCTAACTTTTGCCTCCCCATCTTAAAAATCAAGTCAAGTCAAATTCTCCAACAATTTGGCACAATGAGATATCCTAGATTTATGGTTAAAACAGAGGAGAAATACAAATTGGGTATCAGTTATGCAATTACACTAGTGGGGTCTATTATGCTTACTTTTTTGTTTTACCCTACTTTTCTGTTTCTAGATTCAAATAATTAGTGCAGCTGAGGGTGAAATATAAGCATAAGAGTAAATAGTCTCCAAAAGTTCTTCACTTCAAACTACACATACCTAGCTGGATGTGGTGGCACAAGCCTATAACTCCAGCATTTGGGAGTTTGAGTCCAGCCTGGGTCACATAGTAAGTTCAAGGGCAACATGGGCTATATATTAACAAGACTGTCTCAAAAACAAATGTGTGGATCTCTATGAGTTTGAGGCCAGATATGACTACACAGTGAGACCCTGTCAAAAAATAAGCTAATCAAAGCAAACAATACTGTCCCCCAAACACAAATCAACAAGATCCAAAACCAACCAAACCCTAAATTAGACACTTAAGGAAAAAATTGAGACATTTTTCTTTCTTGCTTTTAACATTAGCTCTTTCAACTAGGATAGTCTCATCTTATTATCTACATATTCCAGGGGAACAGATCCTGATTATAAATGACAGGTTTATATATTTTTCGTATACTTTAAACTTTTGGGCTTCCTAGAATCTCTATTAACTACACATTACCTTTTTGAATGGATTCATCCTAATACTCAGAGCAAGGCCAAACTTTCCAGAACTTTTGGAACTTTCTAGAACTATCATCTTTTTATTTTTATTGTTTTTGGTTTTACGAGACAGGGTTTCTCTGTATTGTTTTGGAGGCTGTCAGTCCAGCCTGGCCTCGAACTCACAGAGATCTGCCTGCCTCTGCCTCCAGAATGCTGGGATTAAAGGTGTGCACCACCACCGCCCGGCTTAGAACTATCATCTTTTTAACCCATTAGTTTTGATCTATGATGTACGGTTGGTGGTACCTCTAAAAAATGTGAACTCAACAGATGTGGAGGGCCACCTGTAATGCAGTATTCTTTTAGATATTTTTTCTTTCATGAATTCAGTTGAATTTAAGAGTACGAGTGAGCCTGGCACATGGAAGGTTTTATGGGTCCCCTACAGGAGGGAAAATTGTTAATGGAAATAACCACCAGGTTGAATTCCTAAGACAAAACAGTCCAGGGCTCTGCCTCAGTATTTCTCACATCCTTTACACTTGTAAGTTTTTCTTACTAAGCTAATAAATTTATTACTGTAATTCAGGTTCCTACTTTCATTTATCAACAATATACAATGTCAAACTATAATGCCTAATGAATGTGAGGTGACAAGTGTCTGATCAAAGACAGAGATTCAATGATGACACTTCAGAGGAGTAAATGTAACATTTCTCTTAGATGTTGTCTGACTTGGGCTCAAGAAGTCCAAATAGAGAACACTGATGAAGCCGATCAAGAGGGTATGGAACACCGAGACACTATGGGAAAGAAGATCTTAGGGTGTCCTCCCTCTAGCATGCTCATCACCGCCTCGTCACGTGTTCACGCTGTGTGTCACTTGGGCATTTTGAGCTTTTGGCCCCAAGAATAAGAGGGGGGTGACTGAGTGTGATGCAGAGCTGTCCTGGCTCTGAGGGAGGTGAGGCAAACATTTAACCAGAAGAGGGAAAGGGGAAGTTCTCATTTTAACTGTTGCCAGAGAAACAAAAGGATTCTGTGCCTTGGATGGTTCTGGGCCTGGTGGGCCACACTTCTTCCTATGTCCAGAGCTTTCAGCAGAGCAAGTCCTGTCTGCTTGTATGCATTTCTCACATTGTTGAGGCAACCTCTAACACAGGATGAACTGAAACCACACCAGTCACCTCAGTAGTTAATGCTATTGTCTTGTTAGTATTTTGCTATAAAGGGGTAAACATTTTGAGACACTTATTACTAAACTTAGTTTTACGTTAATTTCTGTTCTTATGAATGAAAATTATGCAGAATGCATTTTTAGGAGCTTGTATTTTTGTGGTGTAGTAAATTCAGTACTTGAATTTAACAGTTATTTAATGAATGTATAAATATTACAATTAATAACATCACAGGGATTTGAAGAAGTGATTCCCAGGACACACAGTGTTGACAGTGAACGTAATCACAGAGCTGAGCAAGATCACTGGGCACTCTAGAGAACAGCACCTCAGTCATTTTAATGGCGTGATCCAGTGGTGGAGAGTCAGTCCAAGGGCAGACAGCCTGCCTAGCAAGCCCGAGACCAGCGATGGAGTCCTGGCACCCCACTACCAGCCAATTGCTTCATTCATTGATCACTATTAGGTCAGAGAAACTGAAGTTAACTTTCCATTTTCAAGAACCAACGAGCCATCATCCATGAGGTCTTGCAGCTGAATAATAGGAAACTGTACTTGTTTTTCAAACCATTTGGCAACTGTCAGAAGTTGCTGGTCACAAAATGCACGTCCGATTAACTGCAGTCCTATTGGTAACCCTTGGTTTGAGAGGGCCACAGGGACACTCACTGCTGGCAAACCTGAGGAAGAGAAAGAAACCATCAGTTTATGAGCCCTCCTTCCCTGTGCTTATAGATAAAGACAGAATAAGGCTTAAAACAAACTGACAGCTAGGTGTGGTGGCCCACACCTTTAATCCCAGCATTCAGGAGGCAGAGGCAGGTGGATCTCTGAGTTTGAGGACAGCCTGGTTCACATAGTGATTTCTAGGGCAGTCAGGGCTCTGCAAATAAACCCCATCTGGAAAAGAAAAGAAAAGAAAAGAAAAGAAAAGAAAAGAAAAGAGAAAAGCTGAGTGGTGATGAAGACCTTTAATCCCAGCACTTGGGAGGCGGAGGCAGGTGATCTCTGTGAGTTCAAGGTCTATAGAGTTTGTTCCACCTCTCCATCAACTCCTGCCTCTAGGTTCCTGTCCTGCTTGAGTTCCTGTTCTCATTCCCTTTGATGATGAACTGTGATGTGTAAGAGTAAGTCACTTTCCTCCCAAATTTGTTTTGGTCATGGTGTTTCATCGAAGTAATAGAAACTGGAAATAAGACACATAAATTGCTTAGGAATGATCAGGCAGCTGTCCTTTTATTTTCTTTGTGTGTGCACATGTCGGTATATCAAGACAACCTTGGTGTTGGTCCTTGCCTTCCACTGGGTCTGAGACAAGGGCTCTTGATCACTACTGTGTATGGAGGCTACCTGGCCAGCTGACTGGAGCTACAGATGTACGCTACTGCAGATGGCTTCATGTGGGCGCTAGGGAGCTCAACTCTCATCCCTGTTTCTGCAGCAAGTGCTTTACCCCCTAGGCCATCTCCCTAGCACCCACAGCTACCTTCCTAAGCAAACAAGTTTCCCAGAGTGGGAGCATGCCTCCTGATGTAAGAAGTATGTGGTTTTCTGCTAAAAAAAAGTTTATTTAATCCAATTATAAGCAAATAGTTGGGTCAATGGGACATGAGCAGCCTCACCTCTTCAGGAAGCTGTCACTTAGGAGGAAACATTTAAAAGGTGGGGACTTCCTACAGAGAGTAAGGGACTGGGGGAAGTAGCACAGCAGGCTTCCTTTTCTATTTAAAAGAACTATGTTTTAAGACACAAAAATGGGCTCATCAATATGTTTTTGATTGTGAACCTAGCCTTTAATAGCTGAGCTGTCACTCCAGCCCATGGGCTCATCAATATAGTCATCACTCTCTGCTCTTATTCATCCCCTTTTCCCTTCAGCTGCTCACTCCACCAGGGAACACTCCCCTCCCAGGCCCCTAAAACCCTGGGTTTTGAGGTGAGCAAACCTTTTTTCAAGTGTCCTATGATAAACAACAGTTGAACCAGAACTCCATATCCAACAAGAACACTTTTAAAGGAAATTCTAGACATTACATGAAGAAAGTTTAGAAAATTTGCTGCCAGTTGACCTTCCCTAAAAGAAAGGTAGAGGAATGTCTTTAAACATGAAAGGAGTAATAAGTAATAAAAGGAAAGTCTTGGTCCTTCAGGAACAGAGAGTTGAATGAAAAAACAGAAGTGCAGTAAACTCAGTATCTGGTACCTGAACTGCAGCCTGGTGCAATTCTACAAACAATAACTGATACATTGAGGTGATTACTATAACCCTTAAAAAGAGATCATAAACAAAAGTAGACATAAGGGCAAAACAACATTAAAAGGCATTTCTAGCATTGTTGAGAAAATCTAAAATTATATTTAGATTAATACTGGGCTCATAATGGTTTCCTCAGATGTGACAATGTGTTTAGGGAGGAGAGTCTTTATCCTCAGAGTCATGCTAAGTTACTCAGCTATAAGACGTCATGTCCAAAAGGTTTTTTTCAAATGGGATGGCTCAACACAGTGTGTGTGGGAGGTGGTAATTTAGAAAGACAGAGAAGAAAGCAAAGTAAGACACTAACAAGGACAGACTTGGGTAAGGGCATATCAGTATACAGTACACTATGTTTAAATTTTTATATATGTTTATATGTTTTGAAAATAAAAGTATTGGTTAAGAAAATAGGTACTTATAGCGCACATGCACGCGCGCGTGCACACGCACACACGCGCGCGCGTGCACACACACACACACATACACAGAGGCCACTCACATATCCCTCTCAAGTGTTCCAGAAGGGAAGGGTACTCTTTTTAGGAAACAATCCTACAGGAATCTGAATTGAAGACCAGGAAGTCTGTCTAAACTTTGAAGAAAAGCACGACATTCCTAAGGACTCCTCACCGGCCATATTTACAGCTTGTGTGAAAATGTCATCCTGGGCACTTCGTGTCCTGTTGTCTTCTTTGATGAACTCCAAGTATGGCACTGCCTCACTCAGGGTGGTGGGAGTTAGCAGGACATCCACACCAGATTCAAAAGCATTCACGAAATCCCTCACAATGAGGCGCCTCACTTTCTGCGCTTTGATGAAATAATTCTCATAATTTCTGTGGAGAAAGACAAAGATACCTTAAAGATTTTTTCTGTTTTGTTATAAAGGCAGTTCTCTTACATTGGACTAGTTAAAGAGCCACACTGAGACTATTACTATTATTACTTACTGTGTCAGGAGGGAGCAAAGGAAGGGGTGAGGAGAAGTCTGAGGACATTCAGCCAGAGTCACCTTTCTCCTTCCACACGTGGATCTCAGGAACTAAACTCAAATCATCAATCAGCCTTTATCTACTGAGCCATCCTGCTAGCCAATTGTTATTTTAGTTTTTGAGACAGGGTCTCACTATGTAGCATGGTTGGCCTAGAACCTCACCATATAGACCCTAGCTAGTGCTGGAATTAAGACTTGGTCGCCACACCTGGCAGTACACTACTAAATTCTTTTTGTTTGTTTTGTTTTTTGTTTTGTTGAGACAGGGCTTCTCTGTGTAGCCCTAGTTGTCCTGGAACTCACTCTGTAGACCAGGCTAGCTTTGAATTTAGAGATCCACTTGCCTCTGCCTCTGCCTCCCATGTGCTGGGATTAAAGGTGTACAACACTACTACACAGCTGATTTCTAACAACTTATATTGGAAAGTTTTTTGTTCATATAAAAAACAGTAACTGTACTGTTACTATAAAACTTTACACTGGAATTTATTCATTAGAATTTGCTACTAGATGCAATTTTTACCAAATATCCAGTAAGGAAATTGCTAAACCAGAGTATTTATTTTAGGGTGAGATAGTGTGACTAAGTTACTTTCTAGGTACAACAGATTAAAAACTTGGATTTCAAAGGCTTATGCAATTTTCTATCATCATGTCTCAGTCTATGTACAGTGTAATGATAACTAACTAGTCTCACATCTGCCTGAATTAGATAGTAGAAAACAGGCCTGGGAAGCAGGTTCCATCAAGGAAAACAAGAAAAGCACACAGCATTACAGTTTTGTATTTTATGAACAGTTTAGTCTAGAAGGGCAGAGATAACGTTGAATGAAGGATGCTCAAACACTATTAAAAGATGGGGGGGCACAGACACAGACAGAACAATAAATGTGATACAAAGAGGGAAGAAGAAAACTCTTCAGCTGCTCTTGGGCTCTTTTTATACCTTAGGCTCCTCAAGGGTAAAACTGAACATGACAACTCCAGGCCATTGAGAACCAACTATAAGAAGATTAAATGTGGTATTTTTTAATCCTAGGAGAGTGCTACCGAAACATCATGTGTCCTTCCTACACTATTTGACCAATGGCTTCTATAGAGATACAAGTGCAGATGTCCCCCTCTATTGCTCTCCACCTATCCCTTCGAGGCGTGATCTTTCCCTGCAAATCCCTGTCTCCACACCATTGGATCTGGGGTTATAGGCATTCACAGGATGCCCAGTTTATCATATCATACCATAGGAGCTGGAGTCTGAACTCTGGTCCTCATGATTATACAGCAAGAACTCTACCACTAAGCTATCTTTTCAGCTCCTTATTCTTTAATGTTGTTTCTAAAACAACATTTTTCAAAATAGGTTCTCACATCCCAGGCTGGCCTTGAACTCACTATGCAACCAGTGATGACCTTGAACTTCTGATCCCCTTGCCTGCATTTCCCCAGTGGATTACAGGCATGTACTGCCACAATATTGATGTTGGACATCAAACCTGGGGCCTTAGAGGTAGGTAAATATCCTGCTAACTGAGCCAGTATAGTACTAGATATAAAAATTTTAAGGTTTCAAGAATAGCAAAAATTCTTACAGAAATTGTCTTACTCTTTTAATAAGAAAAAGTTTCCTGAGAGAATTCTTCCTCGTACCACGTCATTGAACCCTTCTTGTCTGGTTGCAGCATACATGGCTTCAGTGGATACATCAATGCCAGACCTGTGACCTGAGAACAAGAGGTAAACATTATTGAAAAAGAATTAAAGTAAAACAGTATTGTGAACAATATGGATCTTATATAACTTTCCTCTCCAAGTTCTTTTTCTTTATTTGCTTTGTGACTGATTGATCAATTAGTTATGAGAACTAACCATGGAGAGAAAAGAAACCATGAAAGAACATTGTCATTCACCCACCCATCCATGCAAACTCTGATTGAGGTCCACCTTGTCAGACACTACATCAGATGAGTTGGGTAAAAAAGATAATTCCTTTATGATTTTCCCTTCAGTCCAGAGAATCAAACATAAGAAAGACATGGTGAATACTTTAAGTTCCATATTAAAATAATAGAGAAAAATTGATTTGCCTTCCTGAATTATTATAATAACTAGTATGTGAACCTTTCAAATGTTTGAGATATCGTAAACAACCCCAAAGCAGCCATCTTACCATATTGTAGCCCATCAAATCTTGCCATATTCGAAGCCACTTCCGATGTACACAGCACATGGTAGCAGACAATTGAGTAGCAGGTGTGTGGCAAGGAGACTTCAATCACTTTGGCACCCTCAGACGCAAAAAGGTCAGCAGCTTGGGACCAGAGAGACTGTATTTCACTTGACAGCTCTGGTACCATATATTCCTTAGAGGAAGAACAAAAGAAAACACAGGAAAGTCTATACAGACTCATAAACATCTGTATACTAAAGTCTTTGGCAACACACTACACTAAAACACTGATAATACGGTAGCTGGTAGGTACCTAGAAAGACTGGACTAGGAATGTTGATGGCATGTGAGCACAGTACTGGACAGTACTGGCATAGCAGCGTAAAGCTTGGCGATCTGATCAGGGGTTCACTATGTCTCAAATACTCTGCTGCTGTTTTTTAGAGCTTCTCTCAGTTCATGCTTTCACACCCCATTGCACAGGTTCATCATCCCTCATTTTACGGATGGAAAGTATTGAGCATAGGGAAGGGAAGTGGCCTTCCTAAAGCTATATGTCACACCAACATGGGATCTAGGACTCGACTAGGTTCACGGCTAAAGCTTTGGTCTATTTTGGTTTTTAAAGAAATTACATGTAGTAATCTTGATGAAAGTCTTTTTAAAGCAGCAATTCTCTATAGTAGTGGTGTCCCCTGATAATGTCTGTGGATGCTTTGACAGTTATAGAGTAGAGTTATAGTGGTGAGGGATGCTATGGGAGAGGGGTGGAAGCCTGGGATGCAAAAGATGGCTTTCCACCACAGAACCTTCCAGAATAAAATATCAATGGTGCCAAAATTAAGAAGCCTCAGTATTCTGCATTATTTATTTTGCTAAAAGACTCCTAAAATATGTTAAATGTTAATACATTGTCAGATATATAGTTGGCTAAGGTGGTACATACCTAGACTTCAGCACTTGAGAGAGAAACAGAGGGAGAGAGGGAGAGAGGGAGAGAGGGAGGGAGGGAGGGAAGGAGGGAGGGAGGGAGGGAGGAGAGAGAGAGAGAGAGAGAGAGAGAGAGAGAGAGAGAGAGAGAGAGAGAGAGAGAGAGAGAGAGAGAGAGAGAGAGAGAGGAGTAACTGAATTGGAAGTCAGTCTAGGCTCAGTAGTTTAGAGCTCTTACTTCACATGAGCTCAGCTGCCAGCACCTCAATCAGTGGCTTACATGTCTATAACTCCAGCTCCAGGGATATGATGTCTCTGGCCTTGTGGGCAGTTATATTCATGTATATGTATATACATATATAGCCACACGCAGACACATATATCTACATATGACTTAAAATAAGGGCTGGAGAGATGGCTCAGCAGCTAAGAGCACTGGATGCTTTTCCAAAGGACATAAGTTCAACTCCTAGCACTCTTGTCAGACAGCTCACAACCATCTGTAACTTTACCTCCAGGGCATCTGATGCCTTCTTATGGCCTCCACAGGCACCAGGCACACAAAGAGTGCCAAATATACATGTAGGTAAAATATTCATACACATACATAATTATTAAAAAATTAAAATTTAAATAAAACTGTACAAAACATGCCACACAAACACAGGTCTGAACTTTTTAAACTTTAAAGTTTATTACTTACATGTATGGATTATTAACTGCTATTGTAATAGGTATAGTCTAAATGGCAATAATAAAAACAAATGCAATAGCAGTGAAGCCTTACTAGAGAAGTTATGTGTATGTCTCTTACATCAGGGATCAGCAAACTGTAATCACAGGCAAGATGTGACAGTAATCCACTTTTAAAAATAATTTTTTTTAGTAAACAGACATTTCCTCATTTACATATTGCCTATGGCTGCCTTTTCACTATAATAGATGAGTTAAAAAAGCCCAGATCTATGATCTACAAAGCCCAAAACTGCATCACTTTCTTTCCAAGAAAAGTTTACAAACCTGTGTTTTATAGGATAATCAAATTTAATCCTCACAACTCTCAGGGTCTGTATTTCTCTCATCCTCATTTCACAAAGGGGGAAACTGGGCTTACAGAGACGTCACATGCTTAAGATCACATGGCCAATAACAGTGGTGGTACAGGGATTCAAACCAACCAGTTGGCCTCCTAAATCTGTGTTCTGCATTTGGCCAGCCAGCATTTCTGAAAAGTAATGAGAAGAAGTTACCTTTGGGATTCCTATACACAGTCTGCTTACATCCATCTCACCAGGAATCATGAGTGGCTTAATAGGGTCTTGTACTGTGGTGGAATCTTTGGGGTCATGTCCAGCCAGTACACCTGCAAGAAGGAACCCGTATGTGTGACAGACATATTGCTTTATAGAGAGACTTTGAAATGCTATGTAACCACAGAAATACCTAGCACAATTGCTGTATCGTCCACACATCTGGTGAAGATTCCTGGCACATCCATCGAATTCACCAGGGGAATGAGGCCATGACGGGAAACTAAGCCATAACTTGGTTTGAAACCAACAAGCCCACAGTGGGCAGCAGGGTTTCTGGTGGACCCTCCAGTATCTGATCCTAGAGCCCTGGATTGAAAGAGAATTCTGTTTAGAGGAATGACTCTTTAATTGCATCTGGAATCTACTATTTAGAAGTGTACTTTCCCTTAATTATATAGAGTAATCCACACTCATCTCAAAGGATTCATATGGTATTGAGAAGCACAAGACCCAGCAACAAACATTTAACATTTTGTCAGATTCAACCGTCCCTCTTGCCTCTGCCTCCTGAGTGCTGGAATTATGGGCATGTGCCACTATGCCTGGTCTTTCAACTCAAAAGATTGTGTTTTCTTTGCTGGAGAACATTTTGTAATTGTAAATTTGTTTTATAATGACCTCTTGCTGCCACTAAAATAGTAAAACTTGATAATATTTTTAAACATGTCAAGTAACAACAGGCAGTATGCTTTCACAAACTAAACCCTCTCTGCAGAAACCCAGACCTCAAGCCTTTGCTCCCCATTCAGAGTCATTGTTAGAGATGTTCTGTAATTTTCACAATGTTGTTTTCATCTGGAATGATAGCTTTCAGCAAACCTTTGTTGATAAACAATTTTACACATAAACCTCAGCTCATGTTTGATTGCTTTTAGGCTGTTGGTTCCTAAAAGGTTGAATCCCTGTACCACCGTTATTGGCCATGTGGACTTAGACATGTGACTTCTCTCTAAGCCCAGTTTCCCCTTTGTGAAATGAGAGTGACAGAAGTACAGACCCTGAGAGTTGTGAGGATTAAATTTGATTATCCTATAAAACACGGGTCTGTAAACTTTCCTTGGTTAATGAACAAAAGGGTCTATTGTTATAAATTCTTAACTTACATAATCAAATTACTTGTTGCAGACCAAGCCAATTCATGTATTTATTTCTAGTGAACTGTGTCTTAATATTTCAGTGTCATCAATGAGTAGCAGTTTAAAAATTTTTGGTTAATCTGATTAAAACAATACTTTTAAATATTCATTTTGAAAAACTTATCATTACCCAAAAAAGTGAATGCTCATTTCTCAGCCCAGTCACCTAGAGAACACATGCTTTTCTTATTTTTTTAAAGTAACATGATTCAGACTCTATATTATGCAGTAGAAGAAACCAGTTTAAAAAAAAAGTAACTGAAGGACATCACGCTTAGTGTAAGAAGCCAGTCACAAGAAGACAAATGCAGAGAGCTCATGCAGGAGGTACTAGAGCTCTCAAATCCACAGACAGTAAGGAGAAGTCTGCTAGAGACAGGGAGTGGGGGCAGTTAATGTGGGCTGGTTTCAGTTTTCCAGGATGAAAAAAAAAGTTTTGCATATTAATTGCAAAATTATATATACATATTTTGCCATAACTGAAATTTTAAACATTATTTAAAAACAAAGCTGTTGGAGTACATGCCTACTACAAAATTTAAATCTCATACAATCATATGATAGAGAAGTAAAAAAAGAAGTAAAAATCTGCTGGGTATGGTGGTGCATGCCTTTAATCCCAGCTCTCAGGAGGCAGAGGAACTCCGGTCTCTGTGAGTTTGAGACCAGCCTGGTCTACAGAGCAAGTTCCAGGACGGGCTCCAAAGCTACAGAGAAACCCTGTCTCGAAAAACTAAAACCAAACCAAACCAAAACAACAACAACCCCCCCATCAAAACAGTAAAAATCCTCTTATTGAAGCACCCGTAATAGCCCTGTTACACACTTTCATCCAGATACCTCATGTGTGACCAACATCTGTGCCTAAGTAATGATCACTCTTAACAGGAGTCATATACACTGTCAATAACTTTTTTCACTTAGTGCACGCTGGGTAGCTTTCTATATCACCTCACAGTGTCCTGTCTCATTCTTTCTATGCGGCTCTATAATATCCAAGAATCTTCTTAATTTAAAAACTATAATAAAACAAACAAAACACTGTCAGGGAGACAAAAGCAGACTACTTCACAGTTTGGAGACATTCAATATGAAGTTACTTTTGGTTGGTGTGTCTACTGATTATATGTACACATATATAATCTACTGATTATATTGAAACTAATACTTTGGACTGAGTAATGGTCCCAGCAATAACATGCCACTTGCACTCTACAGAAAATGCAAATTATATTTCCTTTCTCACCAAGTTCATTTAACTACAAAATCAGTCTGTTGGCTTTCATAATTTTAAAAAGATACTGTCTCTTATTAGCATTCACTGACAGCTGTGTAAAAGTAAAACCTACATTTCCATAGGAATTATGTGTCAAAATGCCATCTTCTCAAAGTAGATTCAGAAAGATAACACTAAGTGGGATGATGAGGGTAGGGAAAAAAAAAACACACCTGATCCTGTACTTCTAACATGTCAGAACGCTCATTAATATTAATGCAATGCTATAACATTCCAGAGATAAATGAAATGGCTTTTCTTCTTAACAAGATTTCAGCAACATGAAAAGCCATCTGAGGAAACTACAGCTCCATAGTTCTAAAATATGTAAATAAATTATTGGTTGCAGTGCTTGTGAAGGAATGTTAGTTTTACTGGATAATTAAAGCAAGGGAAAACATATACATATTATATTACTGAGGAAACACAGTCAACTTACTTACAATGAGACTGATAAATCATTATTTATTATTCTTTGGGTGGTTAACAATGGTTAGAGGACCAGGAGTGGTGGCACAGGCCTATGCTCTCAGCACTTGGGAGCTGTGCAAGAGGGCCAAGGGTTTGAGACCATTGTCTGCTACACAAAGCCTGAAGTTGACCTGGCTGTAACTGAGACCACGCCAGATACCAGCTCTCCCTAGAAACAGAAAGAGGTATTTTTGAAAATGGCACTTAAACCTGGCTGATGGCTTTTCACTGACAAGTGACAGAATCAGCTCCTAAGGAGGCTAAAAGCTCTGCTTAGGGGCAGGCACCTTCAGCTGCAGATTTTCAGGAACACCATTTTAAAAATCTTGTTGATATATACTATGGTGATTTTTTTTCTTTTTAGAGATTTTTCTGGAGGATAAATCACCAGCAGCAGCAATGAACTAAAGCACTGTCATTTGCATAGTGAGCTGATGACAGAATAAATTATAAAAAAATATGACTCATGAACTCCACTCATGGTCAATGTCTTATTTAGTAAGATCCATAAAAGCCATGGTTTTAAAGAACCACAGGCTACAGAAGAAAAGTTAAAATGTTATTTTAAATTAACTTTTAATGTGCAAAGTTCAAATAGCGGGCTAAAGCTGAGTCTACTTAGACGTCATTTCAATATACCTTTGAACACAAACAGCTCACCAAAAAGAAATACAAATACCAGGGTCAGAATTCCCGTGCTACCAGGCTTTGCATGTAGTTTGACCTTTTGCATTTGGGTGGGGTTTAGAGCACAGACAGGGAGCATCTTACGCAAAGCACGTGAACGCTGCCACTGCAGCGGCACTGCCACCCGAGCTCCCTCCAGTTATCAGCCAATGCGAATCACCGTGCTCATCATGTCGCCGCCTTTCTCTGTATTGCTTTGAATAACTCCAGGGGTTTTTAACTGGTCCAAACACACCATCTGTGCTTCCAGATCTGCGATGGAGAAGCAAAGTAATTCCTCAGAAAAACTTCATTTTATGTCCCCAGGGAAACTCATGGAACTTTTCTTAGCCCACTGTAGCTTGAGTTAAAAAAGGCTGAGACTACTCACATGCAGCTCCCAATCAGGCAGCTAAGGAGTGTGGCATGATTACTAGCTAAGGGAAGACTTAGCCCAGTTAATCAGTTAAAGATGATTTCCCTTGTAAGCTAAGATCTTTCAGATGAAAAGATTCACAAACATTCAGACTATTAGGAAATCTTTCAAAGGAATCTCCTCCTTAAGCAGAAGGTTCAAGAAAAACATTAGGTGTGGTAGTTAATACCTTTAGCCTTGGCATTTACTTGGCTGAGGCAGGAGGATATCTATGAATTCTAGGCAAGTCTGGACTAGAGTGTAAAAACTGTCTCAAACCAAAACAAAATCCCAAAGACTCGGGATGAGGAGATGGCTAGTGTGTAAGAGCACTTGCTGTGCAAGCATGAGGACCTTAATTTGAATTTGTAACACCCACATAAGACAGACACACATGGCTACATGCCTTCATCTCAGCATTTTGGGTAGGGTGGGCATAGACAGGCAGCTCCCAGGCTGGCCTCAAACACAAGAGATCTGCCTGCCTCTGCCTCAGGTATGAGGCAATACATTATCTATATATTTTACATGACAGGTCTTTTTCAGACTTATCTTTGGAAACATATTCTTTTTTCATTTTGAAGTAGCATATTTCAAAAGTTCTTAATTTTACTCAAGACCAACCTACCAGTTTTTATTTTGTATTACATTGTGTCTTAGCAAAGAGATTTTTGCTAAAGGCCACAAATATTTTTCCAATAACTTTTCTAAATTTTATCATTTAAGCCTTTATATTCTTTTCATTAATTTTTATTTAAATTAAAAACAATCTTATTTTACATAACAAGCTGCCCCCCTGTCCCCCCCCCCCGCCCATTCCCCTAGACTTTATATTCTCTAACTTCTACTGTGGAACATTTTCATAGCATCTTTCTGCTTTTATGAAAACAAACTTCAATAGAGCACTTCTTGATTTAGGTTTGCTACATACTTCCTTGCTATTAGATGTAGGTTAGGATTTTCCAGCTGACCATAGGTAACGGAGTGCCCTCAAAGAATCACACTGGGGACATACTAAGCCTACTTTTTCCTCTTTGGCCAAGTTAAGTTTGATCAGCAGAGAAAAGAAAATATCCTAAAAACCATGTTGGAGTTTATGTCCATGGATGAGCTCATTAAACACCACACTGTGTGCAGTCACCTAGGGCCACAGTGTGCAGTGACTCTGAAACAGGGCCACACTGTGTGCAGTGACTTTAAAAGAACAAAGTGAGAAGACTCTTGTCACTAGTGTCAAAACAGATCTTGACTCAAGTTTACATGTGTGTTTGCTAAGAACAAAGACAAGCTTGTCTTGTCTAAACAGTGGTGGAACTAAAATGCCCTTATGTAAAAACTGAATTAGATTCACACTATATACAAAAAACTTAAGCAACATGGGTGACCTAGCTAAGTGGAATAAAAATAGGAGAAAAACCTGTCATTTTGGTCTGGATAAGGATTATGGAAGCATTAGTAGAGATCAGCATAGAAGCACGAATCATGAAAGATAAATTGATGAGCTGGACTTTATCAAAACTAACAATTTCGACTCTGAAAAGCAGTCAGTGTGCTGAGTATCATTATCAATGTGGTAGGATCTAGGATCACCTAGGACACAAGGCCTCTAGATGGGGTTAACAGAGGTGGGGAGACATACACTAACTATGGGCAGCACATTCCTGAACCATCCCATGGGCCAGGGCCCTGACTACACATAGAGAAAGCTGTCTGAGCAGCAGCAGCCAATGATCTGCTTCCTGACTGCCTGAATGCACAGGCACCTGAGCCTCAGGTTACAGCTGCCATGTACCCCCAAACTGTAGGCCAAAATAAGCCCTTCTTTTGGGCAACTGCTCAGTTATCTGTATTACAGCAAGAGAAAAGTAACTAATACAGACAGAATGAAAAGATAAGCCAAAGACTTTGAGAAGAGATTCGCAAGCTACCCTGGATAACAAACTTGGTCCAGACTATAAGAAAGAACTCTCATAACTCAGTAAGTAAACCAACTTACAAAAGATTTAGACCATACTTTGGCAAAGATACACAAATGGCAAAGTAAGCACATGAGAAGGCACTTGACATCACTATTCACCAGGCAGATGCAGTCTAAAATGTATCTACACACTTGTTAGACAACGGACAGGCTGCCACAGGGACTAAGGCGCTGATGTCACGGTCCTCACGAAGACTGGAGACTTGGCTTAGCAGTAGAGCTTTGGAGCCAGTTCTCAGCACCCCCACAGGGCGGCTCTCAGCTGCCTGCAACTCCAGCTCCAAGAGAATCAGTGACCTCTTCTGGCCTCCACTGGCACCTGCACATGTCATCACTTACATAGACACATACACATAAATAAAATAACAAAGTAGACATTTTAAAACAAAGACTCCTCAAGAAGTAACCTTGCTACCTTTAGACACCTAAATGCAGTGAAACTAAAACATATTTTAAATAAAAAGAAAAGAAAACTTCATTTTACTTACCCCATAGCAAACTCATCCAAATTTGTTTTCCCCATGAGAAGAGCTCCCTGATCCAACAACTTCTGAACTACTGTAGCATTGTAAGGTGGTATATAACCTGGAAAAATAGTATTATATTATTATATGAGAGAAAATAATGAATAGGAAGCATGATTTTAAATTTTAATTAATTACTATCAGAGTATAAATTATTCCTAATTTAAATAGCAAATTGTACTTTTTTCAGAGTTAATTTTTCTCCTGCCAACTGCTCATTTTTCACAGATCTCATTATATTATTCATTATTTTTATAATCTGAAAACATCGACTTAAAGAGTACTATAAAATATTGGATGGTAAGATAGATCTAAGTCATTCGACATTAATTCCATATCATTATACTCAAAAGCTCCTTTTCTTAGAATGTTATATCACACAGTAATTTTTATGAATTTGGTTAGAAATAGGCCTATGCACTCAGGAGGCAGAGGCAAGAGGTTCTCTGTGATTTCAAGGCCAGTCTTCATAACACAGCAAACTCAGGCCAGCAGGGCTACATGATGAGAACTTGTCCCAACAACAGCAAAACACCTACCCACAGACTGAAAAACAAACAAACAAAAAAAACCCACCAAAAAACCCTTTAGCTTATATTCCAAAACACAATCTAGTCCACCTAATGAAAGAGGATTCACAGAAATTTACTTCTAGTGGGCAGCATTTTAGGTATCTTTTCTTTTTTCATTTATTTTTCCTATTAGGATCCAAATATTTTGATAAATATTCTTGTTTTAAGCCTGATAGACTAAAGAGTAAAACTAAGGATTACTACATAGTTCCAAGAGATGGTGAATAGGTACTGATGAGTTCTCTGTGTCCACAGGTGTGATGCCAGCCAGTACCAGGTCCTCCTGAAATGGCTCCCAAACTTCGTGAGCAGTACTCATTCAAGGGGCTGGCCAACACATAAATTAATTCTGTATGTAATGAGCATGCAGTGAAGGGAAATAGTCTAGCCTAAGTACTTCCCACAAGGCTGCAGTTGATCTCAGGTTATCTTGAAGCATCGGTACTTTATTTTTATAAAAGTATTGATGTTGTAATCATTAGACTTTACCTTTTAGCATATTTGATGCACATGTTGTCTCAATGCCAGATGTGCTGAAGTTGTCTTTTACAGCAACAGGAATTCCATCTAAATCTCCAAGCGACTGACCTGCATTAAAAAGTCACAAAGAGGGGTGGGTGTTGGTGGGAAGATGGCTCAATAGGTAAAGAGGTTCACATGAGGCCCTGAGTTGATCCAAACATCCACATCAAAGCTGGGCATGGCCACATATCTTTTTTTGTTTGTTTTTGACACAGGGTTTCTCTGTATAACAGCCCTGGCTATCCTGGAACTCTCTTTGTAGCCAGGCTGGCGTCAAACTGACAGAGAGCCACCTGCCTCTGCCTCCCAAGTGCTGGGAATAAAGGCGTGTGTCACCACTGTCCGGCATGTGTCTTATTCTTATGCCTGCTTGCCTGTAACCCCAGTGCTGTGAGGGGTGAAGACAGTATGGTCATGCTGGCTTGCTGGCCTCCAGCCTATCTCCAGGTTTAGTAGAAGACTCAAGGGAAAGTGAGAGACCTGGGTAACACACACACACACACACACACACACACACACACACACACACACACACACATACACACACACACACACACACACACACATACAGAATGAGGGGGGACTCAGGAGAATGAAACTTCAGAAATAAGTTTACACTGAAAATTATTACAGATAGGCACTATCCCATTTACACTAAACACCCCAGACAAGTTCTTTAAGGAAAGACACTGCTACACCCAGCTAAATTGTTCCTCTTGAGAAAGAACAATGAAATACAATTGAACATAATTTACATTTACCTTGTTGGTATCTTTTCTCCGATTCCTCAGCTTGCTTTAAGGCCACCTCTTCTGACACAGTAATGTAAGCATTTAGATACTTGGTTTTCTTGATGAGGGAGAGACATTTCTTGCACAGTTCTGTTGGTGTGACTTGGCCCTGTTTCAGTGCTGCAGAAACCTAGAGTAGAGACAATTCAAAATTGTCTCTTTACAGATTCTGTACACATCCAAATCTTGTATTGAGGGAGCCATAAGCAACAGAGTGTGGAAACAAAACATACAAGTGAGGCTTGGCTTCCAAGTCCAGAGAACCTACTCTTGAACAGGGCAGTGAGCAAAGAGCAGTACTGACCGGCTGGACGATGGGAGCGGTGGGGAGCAATCTCTCCCTTCGTTGACTTACTTTGTTTCTAAGTTAGGCTGGGCAGTAGTTTAGGTGAGCCATGTAGGCCTGAAGCAGCTGAGCCCAGCCTGAGTATAGGATGGGTAGGGGGGAGTAGTTCAGGGAGTAGCTTTGCTGTAACTCAGAGTACACAGTGGAAAAAGATCTTTGTATCTACTGAGCATTTCAGATAAGACCTAGTAGGTGTTCAGAAAAATGCAGAGACATGATAACAAACACATATATATCTTACATAAACTTCTCAGAATTGTGTCATTTTGCGCATTAAGAAGGCTGGTGAACCAAGGGTTAAAATGCATAAGCAGGGCTGCAGAGATGACTTGGCAGTTAAAAGCTCATACTGCTCTTGCAGAATACTCAAGTTTGGTTGCCAGCACCTATGTCAGATGGCTCACCACTGCCTGTAACTAACTCCAGGTCTGGGGAAGCCACAACTTCTCGGTCCTCCCAAGCACCTGCACACACACATGCATGCACGCACTAATGACAGTAAAATATATCCACAAAATGCATGAGAAGTGACCAGTCAGTATCTGCTGTTTGGCAGTGAGACCTGAGATGAAGTGTATTATCTGCCATGTCATGCAGGAAGTAAGGACAGGCACTTGCTAACAAGAAGTCAAAGATGCTATTATCAGGCTTTCTTTGGCAAAGACAGCTGTGTTAGCCACCTGCTATGTGAGTTCAGAGACAAGAGAGTCTGGAAGGGAGTAATTCTTAGTGAGCATTTACCAAGAACCAGGCACTGTTGGTTTATTTGTCTCATCAATTCATTAGCAAGTTAGGCATTATTAACAGCCTTGGGCAAATGAAGAAACTGAAGCTCAGAGGCTGTCATTTGTCCAAAGCCACACAACAGTACAGGACAGGGTGACTTCATAATATACTCTCCTTACCACTTCTGTGTCTACTCTCATGGAAAAGTTGTTCTCCAAGTTAACTGTATTCTTACATCTTGTATGTATCAAGCAATAGGAGCCTGCATTTAGGGGAAGGATATGCAAATTAACTGCTTCGGGCTACTAAAAATTTCACCAAACCAATGACATTCTTAGGGCTGAAAGTGGGAAAAGTATGGGGAAGAAGTCCTTGACGCTCATGGTCAAGAAGAAAGGCCGTTTACAAGGGAGGCTGGAGGAGTGGTCCTGGGATGGGATGGACAGCTAGGCATACCCAGAGGAAGAAACTAAGTGACGAGATGCCTGTTACATAATGAAGGAGCTGGACAGCAACAAAGATGACAGTGTGTTCTAAACAGGAGTAGGAAGAGAGAAGACAGTGAACACTAGAAGAAACAGACACTCTACCCCAGAGAGAGGGATGTAGAGGCAGGCCTCTCCTGAGGCAAAGCTGTACCAGTGAGGACTCCTGCCCTTCTCCTCCCTTGGTTAGCCTTCTAAGACTTCAAGCTGCTTTCTGGTTTAGCAGTTGATGAGAATAAGTTTAAGGCATCACTATCAGTCAGAAAGGGTGAGTGTCCAGGTGCACTTACTTGCAAGAGTGCTGCTCTTCAATGGGGCCATTTTTAGGGACTCCCAATTTGAGAAAGTCAGTGAGGGAATTGGAAAAGAGAAATGAGACCAAAGATGTTAATTAGCCAGAATGAACTGAATGTGGACTATGAGACACAAATTAGAAAGCTCTCCTGGGACAAAACTGTGGCACTACATTTACATATAAAACATTAAACACTGTCACTAAAAAGTACTCTGAGCTGGAACTTCTTTGCCAATGGTAAGTGGGCTCTCCATCTTTGTTCCTAGCTATCCTGTACTAAAGTCCATGGGGAAAAAGGGTAGGCACATGCCTCTCGGTCCTCTGCATCTCTTTCCCCTTCTCTTAGAACCCCCAGGCCACCTGAAACACATGCTTCGCAGAGGTGACACCCCCTCCTTTCAAATGGCACCACTTTCATTTCTGGTAGTATTAGTGCCCAGTCCACTGTTGTCTTTGTCACTACTGCAACTGTTGTCAGCCTGGTTCACCTCAACTTCAAGTTCACAGCTGGTTTGATGTCTGTAATCCTATCATTTTGGGGGTGGAAGCAAGAGGGTCAGAAATTCGAGGTCAGACTCAAAGTATGGGACCAGCCTAGGCTACAGGAGAGCCTGTCTCAAAAAACAAACAAACAAACAAACAAACAAATAAACAAAACCAACCAACCAAAACAACAACAAACAAACAAACAAACTGCTTCAAATTCATATAGAACTTTATGTCGCTCCACTTAACTTGGTTGAGGTCTTGAGTACAAAAATCCCCTAAATCTCAGTTCTAGTCATCCCAAGTCTCCCACCCCTTCAACTCATTGATTATCAACATCCACCAAGCCACAGTCATGAGGAAATGAATCCTGTCAACGGGAGGCTGAGAAGAGGCCTCCAAGCTCCAGCTAAAGCTGCAGGCCTGGATGACACCATGCTTTCAGCCTTGTGAAACTCCAAGCAGAGAAACTAACTCTATGTTCAGACGACCCACGTAAAATAAAACTAATTATTCCCTTTTTTAAAAAAGCACAAAGTGGCTGGTAAGTACTTTTTCTCTATGTAATACACTCTAGTTTTATGTCTCCACTGTTTCCTGAGAATGGCATGCTAAATCACCATCAATTTCCAGTCCTAGAGCCAATAGTTGGTGCCCAGTTTTTGTTTTCCCTACCTCCGAGCAGCATAATCCACACAACCCCTCCCGCCTCAGAATACCTCTTCCCTTAAGTTCAGGCATCACACTATCCTGGCTCTCCTCCTGCCTATCTGGCTATGCCTCCATGTCTCTTGCCAACTTAATTTCCACTTGCTGACCTCTCAATAGAAGTCTGTCTCCCTCTACACGCATCCTCTCAGGTAAGTGTATCTGGCCACGTGGCCTGAGTTATCCACATACTTTGGCTGATTTGTATCTTCCCCCCATCGAGTCCCTTTCCCGAGTGCTAAGTTACTTTGTCTGCCTCCTTCACTCAGTCTTCACTTAGATATCTAAAAGACATCTGAAAATGAATGGCGTTAAAACAGAGCTCTGGAGAAGTCAAATCCTTCTCCCCATCACTGGCCTATTGTGTCTCTGAGCTCATCTTCTTGCAGCCTCCTCACTGATTTGCTCCCAGCATGCTGACCTCACTTGACTGGGCCAGGCTTGCTCTTGCTTCTTGGTGCGCCCTCACTCTCGCATCTGTCCAGAACAGTATATCCCAGCTCTTCCAGACCCTTCTTTCAGGCCTTCCTGGCCACTCACCTAAGGCCTCCAGCTCCCCCACCCATGCTCTCCCTGTAATCTCCTAACTTCCCTTCACAGTACTTACACTATCTGAAATTATACTACTTAACCTTAGAAGCAACTTACTCACGACTATTTTCCTATCTAAAAATGGTATTGTTTTAACAGGGGAAGAGCTTCGTCTTCAGCTGTTCACTGAGGACTAGAGGAAGAACAACCGTAATCTACCTCTCTACAGAACAGTGAAGAAGTCTGTGGTTACAGGATCATATGTGTGAATTGGAGTGGCAGGAGTCCAAAGGATTAGGAGGGCTTGTTGGGGTAGGCATGACCCTGTTTAGAAAGGGTGTCACTACGGGCAGTTTGAGGTTTCAAAAGCCCATGCCAGGCCCAGTGTCACTCTCTTGCTGCTGCCTGTGGGTCCAGATACAGAACTTTCAGCTACCTCTACAGCACCATGTCTGTTTGCATGCCTCCATACTCCCTGCTATGATGATAATGGACTAAAACTCTGAATTGTAAGCCAGCCCCAATGAAAGGCTTTCCTTTACAAGAGTTGCAGTGGTCATGGTGTCTCTTCATAGCAATGAAACATTGACTAAGATAAAATCTTTTTAGTTTGGAGCCCTGAGAAGCCAACCCAAGTCTAACGCCAAGAAAACTGGGATCAAGTCATGATAGAGTCAAACAGTCAAACCATACTAAATACATCTGGGTAACTACCTTCTAACACACCAATCCCCCAAGACGGGGTCTCACTGTGCAGTCACGGCTGTTCTGGAACTGAGACTCACTGAGATCCACCTGAGGTTGAAGCTGTGGCTGCCAGCCCTCCTGGGCTTTACCTCTTATTTAGCATTACATCCTATGCCTTGTCTCAGGGTTCTTCTGCTGTCGTAAGCTCCATCAACCATCCCCTAAATTGCCTCAGATGTTCACCACAGTTTCAAGTTGCTTCTTCTAACTGCCTCCCTAACAAAATTTCCTTCTTAATCAGTTATCTCAACTAAGGTATTAGGAAACAGAGAACTTGGATTCAACTGATAAGATTTTATAACAAAGAGAATGAATCTTCCACTATTCCTGGGCATCTACACACATTAAAAGTGATGTGCACTAAATTAATCAATCTCTAATTAGTAAAGTTTGGAGCAGTAGGACAGAAGCATGGAAAAATTACAAAGAAGATGGAAGACACTTCTTTTCCTGGTAAAGTAACCACCAAACAGTCTTTGAATACAGTAGGCATTAGCAATATCTGTTAAAGGAGTTGTTAAAGTAAAAGCTGTAATGTCAAGGCAACTTCTCCGACTTCCTTTGGGTCAACTCCCCTGTTATGGGGTTTTCCTCCATGAAGTAAGTGTTGTTTTCATAATGGCTTATTCAACGACAAAAAGGAGTACCACACACACACATCTCTCTCTTCTACCAAGGGTGTTTAAAAGAGGGAAAAAGCAGATCACATCCTTTTTATAGGCTGCATCTTAAACTTCTTTTGGGGATTCCCCACTCCTTTTAGAGAACAAATTTAGCAAGTCTAGCCTGGGCACAAGATCCTACCTCATCAACAACAAAAAGGAAGAAAGAAAGAAAAAAAGAACAAATTTGATTTTTCACTAACAATAGGATGTATCACTTACAATGGAAAAAAGTACTACTAAAAGCCTATGGATTTAAATGTCTCATTACAATTTAAAATTCCCAAGATCCTGCCAGGCTGAAAAAGAAGAGACTTCCCATATGGAGACACAAAAGGGAAATGGTCGGCAGGACAGGTACTCAATCAGAGACCTATTAAGCCATACACTCTGGGCTTTAATCACACAGATCTGTTTAAGTCTAGAGTGGGAATCAGTTCAAGTTTTAACCAAGGTCCAGGTGATTCAGAATGGGCAAGCAGGCTGTTGTAAAGATTGAGAGTTTGGCCTTAAACCAAGTCAGATGACCCATATTAAAACAAGAATAAGAGTTAAGAGCAAGAATAATAAAGTGACAGAACACACTACAGAGAGCTTAGTGGTTTAAAGACTAGAGGAAGTGAAGGATAGTCTACAGGCCAATGGACAACAGTCGTGCTTGGTGTTTGCTTTCTTCTTGGCTTGGTACAAGGCCCCTTTGCTTTACAGTGTGCTATGGGGCATCTGGAAGGGCTCTCCAGAAGCTACTTACAGTTAGAGTCTAGAGCAGGGTTTCCTTTTGTTGTTGTTTTGTTTTGTTTTTGAGACAGTGTTTCTCTCTGTAACAGTCGCAGCTGTCCTGGAACTCACTTTGCAGACCAAGCTTTAATCTCAATGGGACTAAAGGTGTGTCACCACTGCCCAACTAGGGCAGGCTTCTTAAGCCTTTTCTACTCACAATCCTTTTCTGCCAGGGAAATTTTGCAAAGTCCTGGTATATTGATATATAAAGAAGGTATACAACTCCTTTATTGTCAAGTCATAAATACATTTATTTCAAAACAATTTAGGAAGGGCTGGAGAGGTGGTTCAGCAGTTAAGAGCACTGGCTGCTCTCCCAGAGGTCCTGAGTTAATTCCCAGCACCCACACAGCACCTCTCAACTGTCTAAAACTGTGGTCCCATGGGATCTGATGACCTCTTCTGGTGTGCAGATAGATGTACATGCAGACAAAATATCTATACATTGGTACACATGATTTTACTATTAAAGATGAAAACAAATTTGCATACCAATAAAATGTATATACTTGCCTTATTTTAAATAAAGAATTAAATATTGGCTGAATATTTGACACCACAGGGTGTAGGCTGCTTCAATGTTTTTAATTCTTTCAGTTTACCAATACTTCTATTTGAAAATTATCAGTGCTGAGAACGCCACTTTGCATAAATACCCTGTATAAAATGATGGGAACATGCTTAGGGCTATATCAGGAATAGCTTAATAATCTCACATCAAAATTCATTTAATGATTTTTTTAAAAGTCAAACTCAAGCCAATAACTCAAACAGCCGTTTTTAGAATCAAGCACCTTCACACAATATAATCCAAAGATAAACACATTTCATACGACAAGCTAAGAAATGCTTTAGGAAAATAATAGAAGTTTTTGCTTCCTGCAATTAAACGGTATGTTTCTCCAAGTTTACAGAAGTTAAATATACGGATAAAAGAACCACTGCAATCCATAACACACATACAAACCCCACTGCAATTCACAACACACAATAGTATCAATGTTGAGTAGAAATGTTTCAGGAGAAAGCAAGCAGTGTTCTGAATCTGGTTGCAGTGAAGTCGAGAGGAAGCATCGGTGAGCGCTGTCACAAACGCCTTAGGTTCAAATCGCGTTTGATTTTGAATTGACTTTGGCTTCGGTTTCTCAGAGCCCCGCCCCTTTTAAACTGCTGTCAAATTTTCTGCTATGTACGGGGTTGGCGACCTACAGGGGTTCAATCATGATGTCCAGGAGTGAAAGCAGTGATAGGAGTCTTAGTTACTTGGGGGGTCTCTGAAGATAACAGAATGTAGTTTTTTAAGCCACCAATTAGTTCGAATTTTGCATGCTAGAAATTCGCCCCGCCCCTCAGCGAGCACAGCCGGGATGGGGTTGAAATGGCCCAACCGGGAAACCTTCCCCAAGTCGCGCGGGGTGGATGCAATTGCCCCCCCCCCCCGCCGCGGCTCAGCGACGCAAACATCTCTCCTGACGTCCTCACTCCCGGGAACGGATATGGGGCGTACTGCCTAAGAGCGATAGTTTCGAATCCCCCTTCCCACTCAGGAATGAGGCGGCCAGGGGGGCCGAGCCGAGCGGGGTGACCCGGGGCGACCTTGACCTCGGAGTCCTCGAGCGTCTCCGCCCTCCCGTGTCCCCTCCGGACCACATTCACTCACTTCTCGGAGAGTCCGGCCCAGCATAATCCTCGGGTTCAGCCGGGTACCAGAGGAGCCCGGAGCAGAGGAAGAAATCGCCGTCGGCCACTAGCGTTACATGGGCGCAGACATCTTGGAACCTCACGGGCCGCTTCAACACTGAGCGCTTGGATTGGTCGAGTTCCCCGGCTGCGGAAATGATCTCTGCACGTGATTGGTTGGCGCTCCGGCGGCGGAGGCGCGCCGACCGGCAAGGAGACCACGGCTGGGATCGTATCGGGAATCGGAGGTTTCCAGTCGCCTGCCTGGGGATTGCAAATGCTGTTTGCTGGCCCCACCGAGGGGTCCCTGCTAGTTTGTTTTTTTCCTTAAGGGGAAGGAGAGTGGAAGGAAGGGGCATGCACAGGATACTGACCGGACGTGAACTGGAGTATTTCTGATGTAGGGATTCTAGTTGCTTGTTCAGGTCAAGTTCGTTTCCGGAAGCTCCTCCCCCCTTTAATTGACTAGTGGGGTTTGGCAGAATTTGGATGAATTGAAGTGGGCTAGCTTGACCCACTCGTGGTGGTTTCTTTCTTTCTTTTTTCTTTTCTTTTGTATTTTGAGGACGCGGCTCCATCCCCGTGCAGGATGGAAGTTTTCAAGTCTTGTGTGCTTAGAAGAAGTGCATGTGCCGCCGCCGCCTGCTTCTGGAGAAGCAAAGCTATCTCAAAGCGGCCAGTTAGAGAGATTAGTACTACGTCTGCGCGAAACACGGTCATGCCCGCTTGGGTGATAGATAAGTATGGAAAGAACGAAGTTCTTCGATTCAACCAGAACATGTTGTTACCGATCATACACTATCCAAACGAAGTCATTATCAAAGTCCATGCTGCCAGTGTAAATCCTATAGATGTTAATATGAGAAGTAAGTTGTTCAAACTTTTAATCAAAATTTCATTAGGCATGCAGGTGTTTTGTTTGTGTGGTTTGTTTTTGTTTTAAAACAAGAGCTCACTCTCTAGCCCATGTTGGCCTCCAACTCATTGTATTCGGCAGGCTAGTCTCCACCCTACAGCTCTCCTTGACCTGCCTCTCCAGTCCTGAGATAGCAAGTGTTGGCATAAACGAATCATTTAGGTTTGTTTTTGTTACATTTATTTATTTTGTGTTTGGGTCCGTGGGACATGTGGACGCGGGGGATTGAACTCTATCAGGGTTGGTGGCAAGTGCCACTTATAGGCAGAGCCATTTGGTATCCCTGTAAGTATTTCCAAACTTTTGGAGCCGTAATAGCCGAGGAATACTTTAGTCTTTACTAAATGTGTTTGGTTGCTTCCTTTCAAGTGTGAACCGGGACTGAGAAGTGCTGCCTACAGTGAATTCGGGTGGTCATTTTAGGGCTACGTTTAGGTTTCAGAGTTCAGTTATAATCCCCATTGATGGAGAATTAGGATTTATATAATTCCTGTGTCCTTCTTGCTTCTCCCATTATTCACAGCTTCAGTTACAGGCCCAACAGAACAGGACTCCAGGATATGGGCACAATATTCTCCTCATTTCTCATATTGAAATTTGTACTCCGTAGCTAAAATGTGTTTTCTCATTATACGCCTGTTGAAATTGTAATATGTTATCCTAATTTCTCTTGCTTAGCCGTGTTGAAAAGTTTGGTGAGCATTCCTTATATCCTATACTGTGATTCTATTATAATAGTGAACAGATTGGTTTGTATGTATGAATTGCTTTAATTCTGGAAAAATTTGACAAAAATATTGTCAGTCTTGCTTTTGGGAACTCAGTCTGTGTCTTCTGAAGATGAACCTGTTTTGAGATGAGTAATGTCAGTATGAATTCCGAGGCAGTTGGCCTCCCAGTGTTTAAGAAAACTGCTATATAATGTTTAACCCTGGGTCAGTGTTCTGAGGGACTTGTGTGGGGGCCTACAGTTGTATTCAGTGCCTCAGCAACAGTTTTCACATATGACTTAATGTGTGACAAACTTAATTTCTTTGTATGTGTATATATATGAATATATGTGTGTGTGTTACCTGGTTACAAATTAAGTTAAAAGTAGAAGAAAATGTTGGGACCAACCTCAACCTCAGTTTTTCTCCAGAAATGATGCGATAGAGTAGCAATTCTCAACTTTGACTTCAAGTCTCATTTGTATTTAAAAATTACTGAACTGTGAGCTATAACATCTTATCAGAAATGTGAACAAATGCTGTAAATTTTAATTTTAAAATCCAGTAAATACAAAATTAAATCAAGAGTGAAAGTATGAAAGGACTGAGAAGCAGTCACACGTGCGAGCTACTTGGATGGACAGTAGTTGACAGCACAGGATTTACCTCCAAAGAGGTTACTGGATGTAAGAACTGTTTATGCGGCCGGGCGGTGGTTGCGCACGCCTTTAATCCCAGCACTCGGGAGGCAGAGGCGGGCGGATCTCTGTGAGTTTGAGGCCAGGCTGGACCGACAGCCTCCAAAACAATATAGAGAAACCTTGTCTCGTAAAACCAAAAAAAAAAAAAAAAAAAAAAAAAAAAAAGAACTGTTTATGCCAATGAGATGATTCAGTGGGGAAAGGCACTTGCTGCCAAGTCCAAGACCCAAGTTCAGTCCCTGTGACCCACATTGCAGGAGAGAAACCTTTCTGGAAAGTGGCTTGCGGCACATTTGTACTATCCCCAATATAAATAAAATTTAGTAAGTTGTAAAAATTACAGGAAATTTAATGAGATAATTAGCATTGTTTTATGCCTCTGCACATCTCTTGATGCCTGGATTAATATGACAGCTGGATTTCCATACATAGTTCTGTGTTCTGTTACAGTGTTACTTGAAGTAATGGAAAAAAGGCAGCCTCACAAAGATTGTTGGAAAAGAAGAAATGTTTTTTAGACTCTGTTCAGATTACAGGCATACCAAACCTGGAGAACCTCTGGATTTGGGAATGTGGGTCCAGATTTGTGGATATTAGGTCATTTGGCTCTAATTTTGAATGTTACATTTAACATTGTGACTTCCTAGACCTGCCCTGTTGTGGATAGTAGCCACTAGCCACATGTGGATGGCTTTGAGCAGTGAATATTGCTGGTCTGAATTGAAAGTGCAGTCACTGTAACATACACTAGATTTCAGATACTTAGTAAAAAAAGAGTTAAACATTCTCAATCAGATTTTATCAGGGCCAGTAGTAATTCCTTTATGTAGCCATGCATGTCTCTGGGCAAGATCCCCAACATTGACAGCAACAAACAACAACAAAACAGAAGAACTACATATTCATTACATGTTATCTTGGCAATATTGTGGATATTTGAGTAATTCCTAAAATTACTCTTGTTTCCTTTACCAGGCAGAATAACTATTGTTAGTAGCTTTTCTTCAGAGGAAGGAATTTGGAGAAAGGTCTGGAGTCTTAAAATGTTCTTAGCTGGAAAACTCCTGAAACTGGAGAGATAGCTCAGTTGATAAGAGTACCTGCCTGCCTTGTGCACCCTGGGTATGAGCTGCAGCACTTCATAAGCTGGGGGTGGCAGTGCACGCCCACAGTCCAGGCATTGGAGAAGTAATGTCAGGAGCGACAAAAGGTCAGGGTTATTCTCAGCTACATAGCAAGTCTGAGGTTGACCTAGGTATTATGGCAAACACGAACAAAACGTGAACAAACTCAGATGTAGAGATGGGTGGGATAGGGAGTTCAAGACCATCTTGGGGCTAAGTCATTAAGTGTCTTCCAAAACAACAACAACAACAACAATAATAATAATAATACAATTGGAAATACCTTTTGCAATTGTCTGTGTTTAACTGCAGTGCTGGGGAGTGAGTTATCTCTCCCTCTAGTTTTGTGCTTATGTAATAATTGCTATTCCTAGTTGGATATGATATTTTACTTCATTTAAAAATTTTTATTTTTATTTTTTTGCATTAAGTAATTGAAGGTAATTTAGTTTTATAAGATGTGAGCACAATGTGTGCTGTGTACAGTTTTGTTTCAGTAGGATGTGTCCATATCTTTCTAGGCTGCTATTTCATATAATACTGTAGCACATTTTACTTTATAGGGTATTTTTGAGATGATGTAGTATCTTGTTACTTTATTGGGTAATACTATTTGAAAGTTATCTTCCAGCCCGTGGATGCTTTTTGAGAAAGTGTTATATGGTAGCTTTGGACAATATTTGAGTAGAAAATTATTTCTCTTGAGAAGAAAACAAGAGACACATCTATTTTGACAGACAAAGGCTGTTTTTCTGAAAATGGCTGCTACTGTTGAATATAAATTATTAATCATAGAAATGACTAAAGCCATGAATAATTTTAAAATAATATAGCCAACAGCATATTAAACAAAGTTTGTTTAGATGGGATTAAGATCTCTGAAATTGATGACATCTTGGGGGATTTTCTAAGTTTGCCCAACTCTGGACAAGTCAAGCCTGTGTTAGCAGGACTGGGCTGGCCTCAGGCTCTATGTGGCTGAACTCCTCCTGACCCTTCTACTTGTGTTCCACAAGTGCTAGCGTTCAGGTGGGCGTGCTATCACCTTCAGCTAGGATGACACGATTAAACCCCATTTTATCACCAAACAGGTCACAAGCTGGCTGCATTCTGGTCTGAGATGAAGCTAGCTATGCCTGGCTACTCTCAGTATATTAGCATATTAGGATTCTTAAGAAAATGGTTGAAAACAATCTGAACTGTTGGCTTGGGACTGCAGAAAGGACTGAAACCTTTTTGCAAATTCACCACTGCATTGTGACAAGGCTAAATGTACACATGTGTTGCTCAAACCACAAAGGAATTAAGCAGGTAAATTGCTATGTCTTAGCGAGAAACTAAACATGAGACAGGAAACACGAGCCTCACATGCAGGGCTGCCATTTTCTGGGATGGAGTGCAGTTCCAGCTAGCCGGATGGCAAATGCGGGGTGTTGACATAAGGACCACTAGTTTAGATTTCTGGAACTAACCTAACTTTGACTTTCTCTCAAGTGCCTTGATTTTCTTTTTTAGAAAAACAACTTCTGCAGACTACCCACCCGTCATCGTCTCCCCTTACCTACTTTTCACTGCTGTGTGGATTGATTGTCACTGGCCCTCTGAACTGACCTTGCCCTTGTCTTCTTGATGGCATTCTCTCACTTCCTCTGTTCTCTCCTGCATTTCTTTCTTCTTTTGTAGTGGGTTATTCACACAAGCATACAACCTTGTGATTCCTATTACTTTCTGTGCCATTGTCTGTGTTGTTGTACTTAGTTTATTTAGAGTCCCTTAGCTGCTTTTGATCTTATTTAATAACAGCATTAAATATTTTCAAGGACCATCTCTTGGCTTTCAGAACTTCTCTGGAGTAGCTAGGCCCAAGTATCATTTTGGATTTTTATTGCAAAAGAGCAGTTAATTTATCTGAACCAAACAAATGGTTTTGGCTTCACTTGTCTGTTACCTGTGTAAATGTCCTTTAAAACAAGATGTGTGCCTATGTGTGCTACCATACACCTGTATTCCTAACACTGGTGAGGCAGAGGCAGATGGATCTCTGTGAAACCAGCTTGATCTACATAGCAAGTCCAGGTCAACCAAGGCTGCCCAGTGAGACTCTGTTTCAAAAACAAACAAAACTCCCAAACCAATGCACCTCATTTCCAAGATATAATGCAATTGACCTGATCTGACATATCAGATGTAGCTCAGTGACTCTTTTCCACTTACCCAGAGCCATTATTCTAGGTAGATTTTTTTTTTTTAGGACATGGAGACTAGAACTCAAACTCATAATCTAGTGCTAGTATCAGGTACTTTAACATGTATGAATCCTTTAACAGCCTGACCATTCGTCTTCTTTACCAGGCTTAGTACTAAATGTCTTTGTTCTTAAAAAAATTCATATGAGCGTGGTGGCATATCCATGTAGTCCCAACATTCAGGCTGAGACAGGAGGGTCATGAATTTAAGGCCACCTTGGGTTACATAGCACGATCCTTTCTAAAAACTTTAAAAGTTTGCAAATGAGTAAATGAATAGAGATACCATCTTCAAAGAACAATTATATGAAAGGATTCTAAAACTCCAGAAGACAGTTTTGCAATCTGAGTTTCAAAGAGACTTTGAGCAGTTGTGGTTTTAGTGATTGCAGCTGTCTAAGTAATTTTCTTTGAAAGGAAAGACACCCAGTTGTTTTTATGCTTCACTGTGTGGTGGTAAAACCGTAAAGCTTGTTGTGTTAGAGTGTACGTCTGAGTAAATGACGTCCTTCTGCCTGCATCCTATAGTGTTTTAAAATCGTTCTGATCTTTTCCTCTAAGAAGTAGGTAAATTGTGTTTTGTAGGCGGTTATGGAGCAGCAGCTTTAAATATGAAACGTGACCCTTTGCATATAAGAACCAGAGGAGAAGAGTTTCCACTGACTCTGGGTAGGGATGTGTCTGGTGTGGTGATGGAGTGTGGGCTTGATGTAAAGTATTTCCAGCCTGGAGATGAGGTGAGTTACCCCTTTTTCTTATTGCTCCCCTCCCTTCCTCTCCCCTTCCCTCCCCTCCTTCCCTCCCTGCCTCTCTTCTCTTTTCTTGATTTGTTTTTGAGACTGGTTTTCATGTAAGCCAGGCTGGTCTCAACTTGTTACATAGTGTGTTAGTCACTGATCTATTGCTGTGAAGACACATCATGACCAAGGTAACTCTTATAAAAGGGAGCATTTAATTGGGGGCTTGCTTATGGTTATTATCATGGTGGGAAGCATGGTGCTAGAGAAGGAGCAGAAAGCTTTACTGATCTAAGAAGCCTAGAATGATAGTTTAACCCTTGAAGCCCACCCCCAGTGATTCAACTTCTCCAAAAGGACGTATCTGTTCCAACAAGGCCATAGCTCCTAATCCTCCCCAGACAGCTCATCAGCTGGAGACCAAGTATGCAAGTATATGAGCCCATGGGGCCCACTCTCCTTCAGAGCATCCCAGGTGCTCCTGAACATGAGATTCTGCTGTGGCCACCTCCCAAAGGCCAGGTTTACTGCCGTGTGCCACTATGTCCCGCTCTCGTACTTACTCCTTTTTTTATATATACAATTTCCGTTCTTTGTAATTTTAAAAATTGTTTTAGACTGAGGGTAATTTAGTACAGTAGCTGACTGACTGTTTTTCTTTTCAGTATGTGTACTGACTGTCCTGTGGCCAGAACACTTGTTTCTTGGTTTGATCCTTCCTTCCTTCCTTTCTTTTTTTTTTTTTTTCTGAGACAAGGTCTTGCTCCTTGAAACACTCTATGTAGCTCAGGCTTTTCTTGAACTTGTGGCAGTGCCTTGGCCTCCTTAGTATGTCTGTCCATTACATACATGAGCCACATGCTCAGCTTATGCATGTGTTTTCTAAATTTAGTACTGAAGAATTGTAAGACTTTAAAACATGTAGGATTAGGACTTTATTTTTTTGCTTGAGTCTTTAAACGAATTTATGGATTAAACTGGTTTTGAAATAGCTAAAGTTTGGTATAATCTTCTGTCACTTGTCACTTTGGATGTTTATGCCAAGAGATAATAGTGAGCGCATGATAATGGCTATGTTTGGATTCCTTTTCACAGAGAAGGTAATCCCTGTAAGTCAGCACAGCCAGTTGGCAGTTAAGGAAGCCATGCTATAATGTGCCCCACAGCCAGCTGGGCATGGTGAGGTTCACCTGTAATCCCAGAGCTAAGGAATCTGAGATGAAAAGATTAAAAGTTTGAGGTCCCCTGGGCTAGTCGATGAGAGCACACTTAGTAAGTTGTATATCCCTAGAAGAGTCTTGCTGAATGTGGCAGCGTGTGTTGTTAAAATATCTAGGTTTACCCAGTAACGAGACACAAACCGTGATTCAACGATCCCACATGGGGTTTATTGGTAGACAGGAAGGGAAAGGGGGGTGAGAGGTAACCAACCTGTGCAGAGCTGAGAGGGGGGGGAGGGAGGGAGGGAGGGAGGGAGAGAGACAGACAGGCAGACAGACGGAGAGGGAGGGAGGGAAAGAGAGAGAGGGAGGGAGAGAGAGGGAGAGAGACAGAGAGGGAGGGAGAGAGAATGAGAGAGAGAGAGAGAGAGAATATGAGAGAGAGAGGAAGACAAGAGTAAAAGAGAGCTTAAGCAGGCAGGGGTCAGTCTTTTAAAGGGGTCCTTTGCACCTGCCCATGGTTCTCACAGAACTCTGGGCTGGCCAGAGTGCTGCCTGAGTGCATCTTGCCAGGTAACAGGGCAGGCCAGCGTAATGCCTGAACCTTTCAGTGTGTCCAGTGGGGTTTGAGTTGATAAATCCAGAATCATATTCAGCAATGAACTGGTATCTTGTGAAGCTTAACTTTTTGCACCGGAGCCCTTTCCCACTCCGGGTAGCTATGCGTTAGGGCGTGCCGTCATGCTTAGCATGGGTCAGACATGTCTGTATCTAACAACGCTGCACATCTACATTTCAGGTCTGGGCTGCCGTTCCTCCTTGGAAACAAGGCACTCTCTCAGAATTCGTTGTGGTCAGTGGGAATGAGGTAACTCACAGTCTCCTGAAACGCTTAGCTGTGTAAGGAAGACCGGCAGGCGTCTCGAAAGTCATTGGTGGTTTTTTAGATTAGGTCCATGTTTTATGGGCAACATTGAGAGAGCTAAAATAAAGACTAGGAAACTTTGAAAGAGTGCAGACTATTAGGTGTTACTTATTAGCTGCCTGCTGGAATAGTCATCTGTATCCACAGAGCAGAGACTTGGTCTGAGGTTTGGAACCCTGCAGTGCTCCTCGCTCTACCCAGTATTAACCAAATCTACCCAAGAGAGAGGCATGGAGGAATCAGATGTAGTCAGTGGCCTAACAGTTAATAGAGAGGAAGGTTAATGGTGAGGGATTTCCACAGAAGGAGCCCGGAGAAGGAATTGGGAGTTACTAGGCATTAGAAATTACTAGGATAGAAAAAGTCTAGAAAAATTACTTTCCAGAAAACAGTGTTAAAGTAGCAGTTGAGCTCAACAACGAATAAAATGTGTTTATCAGGATTTGAGGTTTATTTGAATTTATCTCTTTTTTAATTTAAATTAGAAACAAGCTTGTTTTACATGTCAATCCCAGTTCCCTCTCCCTCCCCTCCTCCCCTGCCCCCCACCAATCCCCTATCCCATCCCCTTTCTGCTCTCCAGGGAGGGTAAGGCCTTACAAAGGGGGATCTTCAATCTTCAAAGACTGTCATATCATTTGGAGCAGGGCCTAGCCCCCCCATGTGTCTAGGCTGAGACAGTATCCCTCTATGTGGAGTGGGCTCCCAAAGTTCATTGTGTACTAGGGATAAATACTGGTCCACTACCAGAGGGCCCCATAGATTGACCAGACCTCCAAACTGATATTCTCATTCAGGGGGTCTGGAAAAGTCCTATGCTGGTTTCTCAGCTATCAGTCTGGAGTCCTGAGCTCCCCCTTGTTCAGTTCAGCTGTTTCTGTGGGTTTCTCCAGCCTGGTCTTGACCCCTTTGCTCATCACTCCTCCCTCTCTGCAACTGGATTCAAGGGTGTCTGCTCCTGCTTCCATCAGCTACTGGGTGAAGGCTCTAGGGTGGCATATAAGGAAGTCATCAATCTCATTATAGGGGAGGGCATTTAAGGTAGCCTCTCCACTATTCCTTAGATTCTTAATTGGGGTCATCCTTGTAGATCTCTGGACATTTCCCCACCCTGAACGCGCCGGATCTCGGCTGTATATGGTCTTTTTAAATAAATAGTGAAGTAGTATATGTAACAATCATGATTACTATATGTGGTCTTTTTAAATAAACAATCAAGTAGTTTGTCTAATAATGTCGCCTGCAAAGCATTCCCGAGCCTCTATATTGCAGGATTAAGAACTGTTAGGAGACTATTCAGAGACCAACTTTAGAATAGGGTGTGCAGTAAGCACTGAGACAGAAGTAGTTTGTAAATTCCTCTGTGGAAAGTCTTGCTTTCCATGAAGGTAAATGCTTAGCTGTGTAGGTAGGCTTGCAAGTTCCTGCTTAGTTTTGACCACTGTCTCTCAATGTAGGTCTCGTACAAGCCCAAATCACTCACTCATACTCAAGCTGCCTCTTTGCCATATGTGGCTCTCACAGCCTGGTCTGCCATAAACAAAGTTGGTGGCCTGAATGCCAAGAATTGCAAGGGAAAACGGTAAGTGCAATGGTAACATCTGAATCTCCCTCCTTTCTTCTGGGTCTTCCACAGTAGATCTGTTTGTGTTTCGATTCCATTAGCTGTATGCCCAGTTATGCTAACATTTGAAACATTTTATTTTAAAGCCTCATTCTATGGGTTCTCAGCTGAATCAAATGGCGGGTTTTAAAAGACATATATTTGAACTATCTAGGAGTTTAAGTCTCCTATATTAGGGCATTTAAATTTTTTTTTTTACATACATGTACAGTATGTATGCCTGGATGAGGTTATGTGCATGCATCCTGGTGCCTTGGCCAGAAGAAAGCACCAGATGTCCTGGAACTGGAGTTACAGGTGGTTGTGAGCCACCAAGTATGTGCTCTGAAATGAACTCTGTTCTCTGCAAGAGCACAAAGTGATCTTAACAGTGGAGCCATCTCTTGAGTCCTAGGGAAGAATTTTCTGTGTGCCTCTGACAAGAGCCAGCTGTTGCGAGGCTCCTAGGAAGGGTGCGAGCCTCTGCACGCTATAAGGACCTGCCACACTGAGAGTGGCCCTTTCCTCCCCAGGACTTGCTTTCGGGTGTGTGTATTTTAATGGGGCTACAGAATACCATTGAATACTCTTGGGTTCCCTTGGGCTCAGGGTTTACTCCTTGAAGTTCAGTTCTGATGCTCCAGTGACTGGGGCAGCAGTGAAACACTGACAGTGTCTCAGATCACTTGTCCCCATTATCTGTGTTTTTTACCTTCTATGGCTGTTCTGTGGTCAACCGTGGTCTGAGAGGATGAGTTCAGGAGAGTCAGATGTTTAGAAACAGGAGGGAAACCTCACATTCATGAAACTTTGGTTAGAGTATATTATTAGATTGTTTTTATAAATTATCCATTTTTTATTTATTATTTTACCCCCATTATAAACTTGACTGTACTTATGTATGTAAAGCATCTGTAGTAAAGATAACCACAGTGTCTCTGAAATGCACTGTGGGGGAAGGGCTATTATCTTTTCAGTCATGTTCTGCTTCTGCTACTCCATAGCTAAGTGACATATTCAATTGATTTCTCTGACTTTTGTTGTGAAGAGTAAATGAGAGAAAGCATGTAAAGCTGGTGCACTCAATGAATGGTGGCTTCTGTTATTAACAAGGACATTAGAATGTAGTTTGTAGTTTAACATTGACAAGGGACTGGTGAGATGGCTCAGTGGATAAAGGTGCTTGCAGTTGAGGCAACAGAGAATTGAATTTGTAAAGGTTTAGGCTTTATCTCTGAAAGTATTTCAAAGGCTGTTTGTCTGATGGAGTACTGCCATTTATCTCAGAATTAAAGGCAAGCATTTACACTAAAGGCCAACCTTGCTTTTTAAGCTTTCATGATTTATCTTTTTTGAAGTTGCCATTTTGGTCAAACATAGTTTAAATTGAGTAGATTTGACCACAGACTTCCTTCCTTACTAACCTGCAGAGATCTTCCAGATTTTTATACCTTTATGGAAGGCTTTATTTGTCTTGGTCCCTTTCCCTTACAAACTCTGGACTCACTGTGCCTGTGTGGCTGTGTACATGGTATGGCCACAGACCTCTGGTTCCTTTTGGGCTTGGGATCTCTGCGTATCTTTTAGTATACTGTGGAAAACAATATAGGTACAGAAATCGAACTGCTTTTCCTTAGATTCATCACTGTGAATGCCCAGTTTGCTCTTGACTTACGAGTGATTGTTTGGCTCACTGTTACTGTCTGCTAAAGCCTGGTACTGGGAATTGGAGTCCTGGGTTCTGTTCTCTGCTGTTAACTTACCAGGTGGCCACGTGCTGTTTGTGGTCTCTTTGCTGTTTCCTCTGAATGTCTGAACAAAAGATCCTAGGATGTGAGAAGAACTTTGAGAAGTGGGATAATTCTGCCTTTTAAGGTCATTATATATTTTTAAATTTTAAGCAGAATTCAAATGATATTTTATTTAATTTACTTGTGTGTGAGAGAGTGTGTGCATACCACACCATGTATATGGAGATCAGAGGACAACGTGTGGAAATTGGTCCTCTCTACCACATGGGCTCTGGGTAAGAGAACTCAGTCTGTCAGACTTGGTGGCAAGTCCCTTACCCAGTGATCCATCTCACCAGCCCCGAGGCCATTGCATGTGATGTTAGGTTGGATTTGTAGTACTGTGAGAGCTAAACAAGAGTGAAAGGCACTGAGGAGCCTCAGTAATTGACACCAGGGGCTTCTTTTCATGTGCATAGTGCAGGATGCCTGTGTTACAACCAGTAGTGAGAGCCTGGCACCTTGTGCCCTTCACCCTGCTAGAACAAAATACTATGAAGTGCAGTCTAGAAGTTCAAGATCAAGATACTGGTAGTCTTGATGTCTGGAGAGGGTCAACTGATTGCTCATCTCCACATGTTGAGAAGGCCATGTTTTCTAGATCTGCCACTAGTACAGTCCCAGAGTCTTCAGAGTAAGCTCTGTGGACTAGGAAGTGAGTGGCTATGTACTAAATATTTCCTGGTCTGTTTCTATATAAGCCAGTGGGTCTCAACCTGTGGGTCGTGACCCCTTTGACAAACCTCTGTCTCCAAAAATACTTATATCACAAGTCATAATAGTAGCAAAATTACACTTATGAAATAGCAGTCAAAATAATTTTATAGTTGGGGGTCACCATGGCATGAGGGTCACAGGTTAGGAAGGTTGTGAACCACTGACATAAATCAACAAACAGCACATTCTTCGTCACTGTGCACAGGTTCCAGCTCCAGTTAGATTTGCATGTATAGTGTGCCCATTACAGCAGGCAAGTCAGAAAATGCTCCTCCTGGAACCGCATCTAAGTGCTGCTGTGAGGGAGGCCCTGCATGCCTCAGGGCTCTGAGGCACAATGGACTAGACTACACCAGCAGTTTACCACAGGAACCATCAGCTTATTACTGGCTTTAGAATTCATTTTGCCTGCTGTCCTTTTGGAGATCTACTTTATTTAAAAAAAGAATAGGCCCTGCTTTTTGTCCCTACGCAAAACCAAAGTTTGCACTGCCAGACAACTGTGTGTCCCGGTGTCTCCTGCACTTCTTGAGTCTACTCCTTGGCCTTTTGCACTTTGAGGGCGCCCTCAGGTGTCAGCATTGGGAACTGACAATGGTTGCAGAACCTAGTTCTTAAGCCCTCCTTTTGTGAGGTAATTTTGCTGTTTTATTTAAGAAGTGAAGCTGCTTCAGATTAAGGGTCATGGGAAAGAGAAAAGTTGACAAGAAGGAGTTGAAGATGCGTTCAGAAGTTAGGTCTCCAGACAGTCATTATATTTGGTATCCTTTTAGTCCTGTCTTCTCAGGGAGATACTAGAGTCCTTTTTAATTTTTTTAATGATTTGTTTATTTTTATTTTACATGTATTGGTGTCTTTCCTGCATGTATGTCTATGTGGAGGTGTCAGATCCCCTGGAACTGGAGTTACAGTTGTAGGCTGCCATGTGGGTGCTGGGAATTGAACCCCCATCCTCTGGAACAACAGCCATTGCTCTTAACCTCTGAGCCATGTCTCCAGCCCCCTAGAAATGAATTTCAGGCTTTACTGAAAGAAACTTTAATGCAGTCTGTCAAGTAGCCAGGTGATTCCCTCTTTTCAGGTGATAGCAATTACTGTGCTGCTTGCAAGGCATGATGGTGAAGAGATGATTTTTGTGAAGTCAAGCCCTGACCTGGCATCTAGGATAGTTTGCCAGCACGGGGTGTGATAGGAGGTCTCTGTCTTTCAGTGCCTGCGAAGTAGAAGTAGGTGTCCATGTTGAATGAGAGACAATAGGCCCTCCACCCATGTTATCTGCTGAGAGTTTCTCCTTTATCCCCATGTATGGAATGTGTTTGTCCCCATCCCCTTACACAAAATAAACAAAACAAAAAGCAGACAAATACCAGGCACAGAGTAGTGCTACAGCATTTCTAAGGACAATGGCTGCTGAAATATCTTTAAGCCACCAGAAAGGCATTTTCTTAAACAAAAATTACCTTCCTAACCCAAAAATTACCAGGCCTTAGACAACTACAATCTTGATAAAATGCCTGTTCTTTTCTGTCTTAATATAGAGTAAAAGAAAAAATTTGAAGTTACTTGAAGGAGAATTTCACTAATTTAGATAATGAGCAAAAAGTCAGCGGCAACTATTTTGTGGGTAAATTGTTAGATGTATGACAGGTGTTGTTTGTTACATGGTTTGGTTCGAGCCAGTGCCTCACTGGGTAGCTCAGGCTAGCCTTGAGCTTGCAGTCTACCTGCCTTAGCCTGCTGGGTTTCCCAGCTGTGAGGCTTTCCCACTTAGGAGCTACTAAGGCTACGAAGCATGAGAGTTTGGAGGAATGAGACATCTCCAGAGTTCCTTCCTTTCTTCACGATCAGTCATTCTGTGCGATGGAAACTACTTGTAGAAGGAACGTGATTTGCAAGGAGACTTCTTTTAATTATATTTAATGGTATTTCAAAGGGAACAGCTGGCTTGGAAATTATAGTAATAACTTTTAACATACAACAGATGATAATAATCAGCCTCTGTGACTTGGGTGAGGGACAGGAAAAATGAAGCTAGGGTAAAGATTATAGACGTGTGTGTCCTGAGGTTCAGTGCGCTGGTTAGCCGTAGGTGGTGAAATTCTTGCTGTCTGGTAGTGGAGAAGGCCCATAAGTAGCAGTTATGAAATGATCGTGGCAGACAAGCAGCCGGCACTCCCACCACTTAGTCTCAGAAGACTGTTTTTCTGTGGACACTCAGAGTTTTCATGAAACAGTCTCCCATAATCGTTAATATGGTATCAGATACCAGACAGCCATCATGCCATGTCCCTACTCTGTTGATAACACAGCACCAAACTGCAGTTCAATACATACAGTTTTCTAGGCATTTGAAACCATGCAGCCCAAAAAGGCAACTAATTCCAGAATAAAATGTAAAAGTATGCAAAGCAGTGATTCTTTCAAATATTTTTAATTCTCTGTGTGTGTATGTGTACATGTGTGTACATACATGCACCAGAGCACATGTATTGAATTGGAGGACAACTGACTCAGGAGTCTGTTTTCCTCTCTCCCTGTGGGTTCCAATGATTGAAGTCAGGTGGTCAGACATTCACATCAAGCGCCTCTACCCACTGAACCATCCTGCCTGCCTGACGCAGTGAGTTTTGACCACTGATTCTCTTTCAGATCACAGATTTCTTTGCGAATAGATGGTAGGTCTGTATCCTAGGCACACCTGTCCTTGCATTGTGTTTAGAGGCTCAGCTCCGCACCCCTCGTTCTTACCTCTGCTCCACCCTTCATGGACTGCAGACCTAGCCCGCGTTTCATGTGGCAGGAGGGCACTGAGCGGATGTGGTAAGAGCCTGAAGCTTGGGTGCCTGCGCTGACAGGACTCTGTCTGCTTCCACAGAAGTTACACAGAGGATGAGAGTCGTCTGCGACAGTGAATAGTTAGCAGGGCATGCCTGAACACAAGGTGTTCCTTCCACCACGGCAGGAATGTGGTCAGGAATGTGACTTTTCTGAGATAACCGTATTAAAAAGCACCTCAGGTTCCCCCTTGTAGAGGAACTGTGGTGACTTTAGCCTAGAGAAATTGCAAAGCAGAGTTGCAAAGAAACATCCAAACTGCCAGCAAGTGGAAATCGTTATTGTGCTAATACTTTGTGTTCTCAGCAGTTTGTAAAGTGTTTCATTTTAAGTATTTGCAGCTTCTTGTGGAATCTGTGTGACTCAGTCTTGAAAAGATGAATAGTTTTATTTGCTATGGGGATTATCTGTCAGTGAGGCGTTATCTCTTAAAAGTTCTACTTCTCAGGTGTGTCTGCTTAAGATTCTCACAGGCTATGTTTCATTTTCTATTGCAGTGCTTTAATCTTGGGCGCCTCAGGTGGAGTTGGTACTTTTGCGATACAGGTAAAAGACTTTTTTAATCTTGTGGCTAGGAAGGTTTTTATTTCTATGACCTTACAATTCCATATATTATAAATTAGTTTTCCTTCGAAGCCGGGTCTAGTGTACTGGTTAATTTTGTCAGCTTGACAGCAGCTATAGTTACCTGGGAAGAGGAAACTTCAACTAAGGAGTTACCTCCATCATATTTGCTTGTGAGCATGTTTGTGGGGCATTTTCTTGTTTAGTGTTGGATGCGGGTGTCGCCATCCCTGGGTAGGTGGTTCTGGATTGTATAAGAAAGCAGGAGTGAGCCATGGATAACAAGCCAGTAAGCAGCAGTCCACCATGGCCTCTGCTTCAGTTCCTGTCTTGAGTTCCTGCTCTGACTTCCTTGACAATAGACTATAGCCTGTAAACTGAAATACTTTACTCCCCACATCAGTTTTGGTCAGTGTTTTAACACAGTAACAGAAAAGCAGGACATCTAGTAAATGCCTTTTAATTTCAGTGATCCAGATGAACATGTTGTAACACAGAAGGAAGCATTAATCTTTCTAGTCATTTAGTGTAGAAAAGCTGAGTGGGTGGAGCAAAACCCTTTGGCAGGAAGACCACGGTGGTGGTTGTAGATGAAAGTTTGAAGTTTAGTAGTAAACAGCATTACCAAAAACTGGGGCTAGCTTCCAGTCAAAAATGTTAGACTTTTTGTAGAAACTGACAAGCCACAATACCACTTTCAAGCGGTCTGCATATTCAATGTAAAGCCAATAAAAATGTCAACTGCTTCTTTCCCATACAAGGAAAGTTTATTCTGAAATATATATGGGATTGCAAAGTAACCCAAATAGCCAAATTTTTGAAAAAGAATAGAATTAGTTCCTAATTCCAAACTTACTACTAAGCTAGAATATTCAAAATGGTGGGATAGTGGCACAAAGAGAGAGAGGGAGGGAGGGAGAGAAAGAGGTGGGAGGGAGGAGAGAAGGAGGGAGGGAGAGAGGGAGGGAGGGAGAGAGAGAACACAAGAACAAAATAGAAGAAAAGAACTATCTAGAGACAACTCTGTATATGTGTGGTCAGTTTTGTTTTTTATGTGTCTGTGTGTGTCTGTGTGAGTGCATGCCACAGAGGTCAGAAGAGGGTGTCAGGTCCCCTGAAGCTGGAATTATAGTGGTTATGAGCTGGTAACTGATATAGGATCCTGTGGGAGAGCAGTCAGTTCTCTTAACTGATGAACTATCTCTCCGGCCCCATCATTTCATTTTTAACAGGGATGGCAAAATGGTTAAGTGAGGGGAAAATGCCCTTCCAACAGATGATGAGACACTTGATGTCCACTTACAAAAGAAGGGAATTGGATCCTTACCTATACAATAGACAAAAATAATTCAAGGTGAATCAGAGTTAAACATAAGAGCACCAATCAGAACACTCTCAGTCTTGTCTCCTAGGTGAATCTAGATCCTGTCAGTTTGGCAGTCAGTATTAACTGGCACACCATAGGGGAGTATTTCTAAGTTATAAATCTGATAAGGGTCTGCTCTCGATGCTACATAAAGATCTCATACCGAAACAACATCAAGATGATATAATCTTCAAAACGGAAAAGGTGTCAAGCATGGTGGTAATGCTTGTAACTCCAGCACTTGGAGGGCTGAGGCAGAAGGATCTTTAGTTTGAGGTCAACCAAAGGTATATAATGAGATCCTGTGTAACACAAGTTCTAATAGGTCTTACTATATAGGTATATAATGAGATCCTGTGTAACACGAGTTGTAATAGGTCTTACTAATAAAAGCCAGGAGTTAGCTAGGGACTGAAAGATCAGAGAATCAGAGAGTGGGTTCCTGTCTCATCCCACATATATTCCTCTCTGTGCCCAGCCATCTCACTTCCATCTGTCTGTACAAACCTCTAGATCTCTCTGGATAGCTAGTGGCTAACTCTTCCCTCTGATCTTCAGGCAGGCTTTATTTATTAGAGTATAAACAAGATATCACCATAATCCTGTTTTAAGGAAACAAAACACAGTGAAACACATTATCATGGGAAGAGATTGAACATCATTCTTGCTTAGGGAAATAGAAGAACCACAAGACACCATGCCACACCTAAGGATGGTCTTAATTAAAATAAAAACAAGAAACGTGTGCTAGCAGGGGGTAGAGGGCCAAACTGATAGATAGTAGCTTCTGCTGCCAATACAAAGTTGAGACAGCCAGCTTGCTAAAAGCAAAGGTTAACTTGTAATTTTAGTTTTAGTCCATGATTCTCTATACCACTGAGCCATACCCCTAGGCTTCTGGTTTTAGTTTTGAGTGATAGTTACTCATTGAAATTAGTTATGAGTAAGAACACAAGAAGTTGGGCACCTACCCACATGGCATACACTCACACAGACACACGTGTACATACATCCTAAAATTATTTTAAAATTTTATGTTGTGAAATATAACTCAAAAAGTGCATGTGACATAAATGTATAGTTTAACAAAGTATCATAAAGCAAACATCATGGGCGGGAATCGTATTCTAATTGTTAAATATTTTGGAGATGGCTACAGGGATTGGACTTGGCCTCTTGCATGCTGAGCTACACTTCCAGGGTTCTTAGTGGTCAGGTCTCCCACTTGAGTTGTGGTTATGGGAAGTGTTTTGAGTGTATGAACTGTCTCTCACTTACCATTTCTCACTGAAGAGAATGCAGTAAGTTACAGAGGGGTCATAATGTGAGTGAGCCTCACTTTCCCTCAACGGCAGAGACACCATCAAACCTTTAGGTCTTAGACAAATGCTACAGTTTCAGTTTATGTGATGATTATAGTAGCTTGAATCCATATTTAAGTCCATGAGTCTATTGTTGATGTATTTTTTTGGAAAAAAACATTACGAGGAACAAGTTACTGTGTTATAAATTGATAAAGGGAAATACAATTAATTGAATATTCCTGCTTTGCCCCTACCTTGTGCTTTTTAGGCAAGTGACCTATCATATATGTATAGCTCCAGCTTTTGTCCTGCCACTTTTAAATTTTATTTATTATTTATTTTGTTTTTTTTTTTTAAGATTGGGTTTTCTCTGTGTAGCCCTGGTTGTCCTGGAACTTGCTTTGTAGACCAGGCTGGCCTCAAACTCACAGAGCTCTGCTATCCCACAATTTTTTAATGAACTGTATGACTGAGCAAACCATATAGTATTTGAAGGGAGGTATTTCTCAATTAATTGTGACCACTAAATGAAAAGAAACAGAACTCGAACATTACTCTTTGCAGCCAGGAGTGGACAGGAGTAAGTCCTGAGCATTGACAGCTTGCGGAGATCCTTTGGCTGTGTCAGACACTATCCGTGGTTTTCTAAAGATGCCTTCATCTTTCAGTCATCTCCCAAGGTTCAGGAAAAAAGGCAGAGGACACAGAATCGTGCACAACTGCCCCCCCCTCGTGTAAACGGAAGTTTCAGACTGCAGGGCAGTTCTGCAGGTCTAATGGCCTGGATTCTTCCACAGATAAATCGTAGGAGAACAAAGGGATAGTAGCCCGTGATTTAGAAGAGGGTCCCTCCCCATATTTTAAAAAATGAACACAACAACATATTGTGCCTGAATGACATTTTTCTTAATGTCAGGAATTGATTACTATAAAAAAATCAAGATAATGATGACTTACAAAGGAGGTGGCTGGGAAAGGAGCTTGTGTTAAGACAGAACAAAAAGAAAAACCTTTGAATTGCTACAGGTATTTTGTTTCTTTATCTGAGTCATATCTGCCTTCTAAGTTCACTGAACTTTTTAGTAGTAGTGAAAGATAGCCTGACAGTTCTAAGTGGGTCAGTAAAAGCAAGACATTAGAAGGGAAACAGTTGAGCTGTTTTGTTACATGATAGATTCTTCCTGAGGATTTAATGCTGTTAAATAAACTCTAGGGCTGGATGGGTGGCCCAGTGGTCAGGAGCTTGGGGAGGGAGGGCTGCTCAGTAGTTAGGACCCTGGTTGCTCTTCAGAGACTGGGGCTCGGTTCCCTGCACCCTCATTGCAGCTCACAACTGTCTGTAATTCTAGTCTTGGGATCCAGTGCCTCTGTGGGGACCAGGCATAACACACACACACACACACACACACACACACACACACACACACACACACACACACTCATATGCATAAAACAAATACAAATCTTTAAAGAAAAGCATGTCATAGAATCAGGTCTATTGGGCACATCACTTTTTTTCCCTCAACAGTGTCTTGCATATGTTTTGGGGAAAAGATGGACATCTTAGATTCCACCTGGGACTTTGACTCAGGACTTGCTGTTGAAAGAAATCTATGCCTTTACTGCAGAGTCCCTGTCTGCAGCCCACACATAACACACCATGTATGTTATCCTTCCTCAGTGGTTTTCAGGGTATATGAATCCTTGGGAAATATTTTTTTGTTTTGAGATAGGGTTCTCTATATCATAGGCTGACCTTGAACACTATGTAGCTGAGAATGACCTTGGAGTTTCTGATCCTTTTAGTGCTATGTCCAAAAGTGTTGGAAGTACATGTGTGTGTCACCATATTTGGTTTGGTCTATATTAATACCAAGTTTCTTGATAAATTTGAAGTATCTTGCCTGATACTGATAGTAGTCCCCTTTAACTCTGTGAAATTGACATCGTAGAAAAAGTGGAGGGCCATTTCAGATACTTAAAGCTGAATAACAATAGAATCATGTACTTTTATGTGGAATGTATTTTTAAATATGTGACTTGGCATTTCAAATGAAGATACCATTTATCTAGGCCTTCTTACTCCAAAGGAGAGGACTCAATTTGTGTTCCAAAACTAACGTGCCCATATTTTCTTAATAACTTTCACCTAATAGCTGATCACTGTGTATGTTTCTAGATGTGCTTTTATGTGTGTGCATGCGTGTGTGTGTGTGTGTGTGTGTGTGTGTGTGTGTGTGTGTGTGTGTGCGTGTGAAGGCCAGAGATTGACATTGTTTTCTGTCACTCTCCATCTTGTATTTTGAGACAAGGTCTGTCACTTGAAGCTGGAGCTCGTTGATTTGGCTAGACTAACAGGCTAAAAAGCTCCTTGTGCTGGGACTGTAGGCATGGCCTGCCATGCCTGACTTTTTTACATGCTGTGGGATCTGAACTTGGACCCTGCTGCATGCCTAGCAGGCACTTTGCCTGGTAACTTTGATGTCCTGCCTGATTCAAGCCATTCTGGAGATGCAAATGAAGAGGTTGCATTCTTAGGTTCTGGGTGCTTGGTTGTGTATTCACATCCTGAGGATGTATGATGCTTGTTTTTCTTTTCTCTGCTATTTGCCCTTTGTCATTAAAGGTTCTAAATTTGAAGTTTGTAACTCTCCTGGTTTTTCTGGTCCTGGGCTGACCCTGCATAACTTCCGAGACAGAAAGGTGGTCCTGCTTATGGAAGATGAGATCTAGTAGGATTTGCTTGACAGACAAGTTTTATCATTTTAACTGGCTCTGAAAGGTAGTCTCCTGCATTTCTTGCTAAAACGAGGACTTAAAAGTTTTCTAGAGATTTCTCATATATGTGTACACCTGGCACCAACCTTTTCTTTAAAAGGTTGTCCCTTCCCTTTGCAGATAGTGAAAGCATGCTATCCCCTTCCCTTTGCAGATAATGAAAGCATGGGGTGCTCATGTGACAGCAGTTTGCTCTCAGGACGCTGGTGCCCTTGTAAAGAAGCTTGGAGCAGATGAAGTCGTTGATTACACGTCGGGAAGTGTGGAAGAGCAATTGAAATCCTTAAAACTGTAAGTAGTAGAACAGTGCTCCTCTCAGGAAGGAGGCTCAAGTACAGTGGAGTGTGCAGGTCTGCGTCACACTGGAGTCTTCTAAAAGACTGACATTCATTGTCATCTGGATTCATTTCCACAGCACATGTACTTTGGAAGTTATTTTTATACATGGTCTGGTGATTTTAAGGCAACAAGATTTGGAAGTGTATTCCTTCTGTGGCATCATCACAGGAAGAATAGAGAGGAGGGCATGAAACCACATGATTGCTCCTAAACACATTTCCAGTGTTTTGGCTCAATAAGAGCATAAGAAAACACAGTGTAAGAATAAATGCTGTCAGGAAACAGTGTGGTGTATGCAGAATGCCTGAAAGCCAGTCTGTGGTTTGGCCTAAGGTACTAGATAGGACTGACTGGGGGATTCTCTCAAGCCCTGTTGCTTTTGCCTGTGTCCTGTCTGTTAATTTGATCTGCGTTAGCTGACGTGAAGCTGAAAGCGCTGCTCATACATATTTGACTGGGATTTCAGAGGGCATTCTTTCCTTTTTAAATCCGTCTTCAGAAGCCAGTTATTCTGGGCCTCACTGACTAGATGTGTAATGTTGAAGGCTGGAAGCACAGCAAGGTCTCGTCTGTGCAGTGCAGCCAGCCTGAGCCTGTGCGTGCCCTCTGTGGAGCTGCAGCTCCTGTCAGGCGCTGTCGTGGACACGATGGATGCTGGGGGGACCAGACACATTCCCTCCTCCACAGCCTGCACTCCCTTGGCAAGGGTGAGTGCCTAGTGTTTGTCCTAGTAAGGGTCACTCCTGCTGTGGCCTGAGCAACTTGGGGAGGAAAGGGTTTATGTGACTTATGCTTCCATCTCACTTTTCTTAATTGAAGGAAGTCAGTACAGGAACTCAAATGGGGCAGGAATCTGGAGGCAGAGGCCATGAAGGAGTGTTGCTTATTGTCTTACTCCTCATGACTTGCTCAGTCTGCTTTCTTATAGAACCCAGGACCACCCGCCCAGGAGTGGTCCCACCCACAATGGACTGGGCCCTCCCCCATCAGTCACTAATTAAGAAAATGCTACAGGTTTGTTTTCAGCCGACCTTATGGAGGCATTTTCTCAGTTAAACCTCTCTCCTCTCTGATTACTCCAGTTGTGTCAAGTTAGCATAAAACTAGCCAGCACAGCTTGACACACAGACACATCACAGTTAAGACACAACCTTTCCTTTCTATTTGTCCCCAAGATCACGTGTTAATAAAGATAGCACAATATAAAACATTTTATGAACTTTATTTAAAAAGTCCCACAGCCTTACAATTCAAACACTTCAAAAGCTGTCTTTTAGAAAATACCTAGTTTCTTTTAAAATCTAAAGTCTATAAAAATCTAAAAGCTCTCTTTTTTAAGTTTAAAGTCTCTCTACTGTAGGCTCCTATAAAATAAAAAATAAATGAAATATACTTTTTTTTCAAGAGGTAAGAACCCAGGCATAGTCACAATCTGAACAAAGCAAAACCAAACTCCAACATTATAATAACTCATTGTCTATTATCTGGGATTCACTCACAATCTTCTGGACTCCTTCAAGGGACTTGTGTCACTTCTCTGGCTTCACCCCCTGCAGCACACACAGCTTGTCTTCTGAGCTGGGGCAGGATCCACCCACACTGCTACTGTTGGTGGTGGTCATCCCATAGTGCAGGCATCTCTAAAATGCTGGGGTCTGGGATGCTTTTCTCCAATAGCTTCTCCTGGGCTTTCTTCATGGTGCCAAGAGTTAACTTCTCTGCATGACTTCCTTCAGCTGCCACTGAGGCTGCATCTTCAGCAATTGCCTCTGCTGGCCTCTCAACCTGCTAAGCATCAGCTATTCTCCATGACCCCTTCATGCTTTCAAAACCTGGGCGATTCTTACATGTTACCAAGTTTGGCTGCCATTATGAGCTACAAGGTTGGCCACCCCTGGAACACAGCTTCTGTGCAGTGACTCTCTGGAAACACTTCCCAGAAGAATTCACCTCAGTGATGCTGGTCTCTTCTTAGTCACTAATAATGTCTTAGCTCCAGCCAACCAGCATCAATTGTCACAGTAGCACAAAGGTTTCACTTTAGTAGTTCTGGTTTCTTGTTAATCACAGCCTCTTCTTCAACTTCAGCCAACCAGAACCATGGGTTCTCAATTTAAAATAGCAAATGGCCTTGATAGATAAAGTCTTTAAGCAACTCTCAAACTTCCCTCTAGAGCTACACAAGCCAGGACCCCATGTTGCATTGCTCTCAACATTGATTTCTTCTAAGCTCCCACAGAACAGCTCACCAAGCTCTCAACATTCAATGGCTTTTCTTACCCAAAGTTCCAAAGTCCTTCCACGATCCTCCCAAAATACAACATGGTCATGTCTGTCAGAGCAACACCCCACGTTCCTGGTACTAACTTCTGTCTTAGTTGGGGTTACTATTGGTGATGAAACACCATGATCAAAAGCAACTTGGAGAGGAAAGAGTTTATTTGACTTACACTCCCACATCACTGTTCATCATGGAATTAAGTCAGGGCATAAACTCACACAGGGCAGGAACCTGGAGGCAGGACCTGATGCAGAGGCCGTGGAGGGTGCTGCTCACTGGCTTGTCTTCATGGCTTGCTCAGGCCAGGGGTTGCCCCGAACAAGAGTGGGCTGGGTCTCCCCACATCAATCACTAGTCAAGAAAATGGCCTGCAGCTGGATCTTATGGAGTCATTTTATCAGTTGAGGCCCCCTCTTCTCTGATGACTGTCTTATGTCTGTCCAGCACAGTGCTCTATGGAACACTGAAGCAGGGAAAGGGAGAACTAATGACTGGGGAGGAGAGGTCGTGGGTGGGGTGTTTAAAGGATCTGCTTTGAAGAAGCATCACTTGGTTAAAGGCTTCAGCTGGTTTTCTTCCTGTCTGTATGTCTCCACCCAATGCTATAGTATTTACTGTGTGTGTGTGTGTGTGTGTGTGTGTGTGTGTGTGTGTGTATGTGTTGGTGTATATGCACATTCACATGTGGGTTCACATGCCTATGTAAGTGATAGCCAAAAGAGGACATCATATATTTATTTCCCTCTCTTACTCTCTGTCTCTTCCTTTGAGGAAGGATCTCTCCCTGAACCTGGGATTTGTGTTTTCTTGACTGCTTGTAAGTCAGCAAGCACTAGGGATCTTCCTGCTTCCAGCCCCTTTGGAGGTGGGGTTTTAGCATGCAGCAGATGCTGGTCTTATTACATGGTGATGGAATCTAATCTCCAGTCCTCATGGTTATACAGCAAGCACTTTTAACTGCCAGGCCATCTCTCAAGCTCCTGCTTTAATTATTGAGGGAATCTAGAAGACCAGTTGTTCTCATGTGATAAGTACATGTAAGTCTCCCCTGTCAAGAACACATTTGGTGTGATTGAGAATTCAGGGCTAAGTTTCTTGAGTGTCAAGGTCTGTACTTCTGTAGGGTGCTGGAATGTGAGGACATGACAGGTCTCCAAGATCTTGCTTCTGGTTAGTGGTAGTTTGAGTTGAGAAGAGCAGCATAGCACAAAGTGTATGTGTTACAGCTCTGAGGGGAAAGGCCTTTCCATTTGAGGTGTTATAGCTTTGAGGGGAAAGGCTTTCCCAATGCAAGTGTTAACAGCTCTAGAGGGAAAGTTTTCCTGGCAGTCAGGAGCCAAGGAATACCACAAAGTCACACCATACAATGAACCTCACATAAGAGATTTACTGGGAGGGATAAACTGGAAGGGTGGCTGCTTCTGCTTGGGTGAGAAGCAGCAGAGAACTGAACAGAAGATAGAGTTTATGTAGAGTTTCTTGGGGGGGTGGAGCTTTCAGGGCGAGGATTGGTGGGTTTTCAAGTCTTGAGCTTGGGCTTTTTACTTTGTAGGGTGGAGCTTGGATCTGTCTGGAGGCACTGGGTCTGACCATTATGGCTATTAAAGTGTACTATGGGCAAAGCCTAGTGGTTAGAAGTCCTCAGGGGTGGGACCTGGCTACTTGCTGGGCTTACACAAAGGCCAACACCAACCTATTATCCTCTGTTGACCTTTAGTAGTATACATGTTTGTAACTTACCAAGGAGAACCTGACAGAAGACTGAAGGACACTTAGTTTGTCCTCTCATATCAGTGTGACAGTCCCCTCAGCTTCTCTGGCAAGTTCTCTTGCCTTTTTGATTGTACTCTTCCAGTAGAGGACTTTCCTTCCTTCCCTCTCTTCCTCCCTCTCTCTCTCCTTCCTCTCTCTTCCTTCAACAGTGTCTTGCTTTTCTGTTGCTATGAAGAGATACCATCACCAAAACAACTTATGAAAAAAAGCGTTTAATTGGTGGTTTGCTTACAGTTTCAGGGTGAACTCATAACCCTCATAGCCGTCATGGTGGGAAATATGGAAGCAGGCAGGTAGGTGTGGGACCAGAACAGTAGCTGAGAGAGAGAGAGAGAGAGAGAGAGACAGAGAGATGGACAGACAGACAGACAGACAGAGAGAGATAGGGAGAGAGAGACACACACACAGAGAGAGGGACAGAGATAGATAGATAGAGAGAGAGAGAGGGAGAGAGAGGGAGAGAGAGAGACACAGAGAGAGGGAGAGAGGGAGAGAGAGAGAGAGAGAGAGAGAGAGAGAGAGAGAGAGAGAGAGAGAGAGAGAGAGAGAGAGAGAGAGAGAGAGAGAGAGACACAGAGAGAGGGAGAGAGGGAGAGAGAGAGAGAGAGAGAGGGAGGGAGTTTGTGTTTACTAGAAGGCATGGGCTTTGGAAACCTCAAAGCCCTCTCCAGGGACACATGCCCTCTCACAAGGCCACGCCTCCTAATCATGCCCGAACAGTTCCACCGACTGGGAACCAAACACTCCAATTGATGAGTCTGTGGGGGCCATTCTCATTCAAACCACCACAGACAGTTTAGTTGAAGTTGATCATTGTACTCAGAACCTCTGCCCAGAAGTTGACCTCTGAATAGTAGCAATCTCTTTGATGTTTGGATCTTAGAATTTTTACAGCAAGAGAGAATTAAATCTCTTTCTAATCCAATCATATCATGGTTGAGAAAGCAGAGGCAGGGGCTTTTGGGTATTTTGGTAGCTCAAGGCCATTAATCATTCCTGGGATAATTTAGCCTACAGTTTGTCTCCAGACTTCTCACATGGTGCCCAGTCTGTAGTAGCAGTTTTAAGTTTTCCATAAATTAAATAGCCTCACATTTGTTACTAAGGCATTAGAAATACAGTAGTAACTTTGCTAATGAGAAGCATGATCCTCTAGGAAGGTCACTCTCCTGCCTTCGTAACCTTTACTTTTTGTCTTTCTTTAGTTTAATCCCGTGAAAGACTCAGTATTCTTGGAGCTGGCCAAAGCTGTCTTAGAAGCTTTGATGTTTTGACTTCCTCCAGATGAATTTGGAAGGGGGAAAACTTTACCCAAGAGGAATTCACCAGTTGATTTATTTAATTTATACACATATATTTTCTAAATAGAACTTTGTTTTTGAAAGTAATTAAAAGCTTTCATGGGTTTCTGTCCCTTTTGAGCGTAGTATAGTGATTATAACACTATTTGGTTAGATTTAGAAATTGGAATATCTGTAGGTTCTGTAGATTCTATTAGACAGTTTGGGGTGGGGGCATGTCAGATGACACTAAATGCTAAGAGAAGGTTTGATTTTTTTCATACATTATCCTGTTGCTATACATAAAACACACAAAAAGAACATTCCCAAAGGTAAAGAGGATGCATTTCTGGCTGTAGAGGGGATAAAAGCAAGTCATTCTTACAGGCAAACAAGTCATGTGTACTGACAAATCCATGATGACACTGAAAGACAGTTTTGTAGTCTTCTTCAGAGCTGAGGTCAGGGCTCTTCATCTTAGACAACCTTGTTCTTCGTGACGTATATTTTAAGCCAGACACTTTTTTGGTGTGAGAATCTGTTTGATTCATATTAAGCCAAATCACTCCTGATTCAGAACCACTTAAGGTACAAGATATAAGAAAACTTGTAATAAGAAATTAGTTGCAGGCTGGCAGTGGTGGAGCATGTCTTTAATCCCAGCACTAGGGAGGCAGAGGCAGGCGCATCTCTGTGAGTTTGAGGCCAGCCTGGTCCACAGAGTGAGTTCCAGGATAACCAGGACTACACAGAGAAACCTTGTCAAAAATAAAGAAAAAAGAAATTAGTCGCATTTTAACATTGGAAAAAAAGGTTTAAGTGGAGGTGAGTGGCTGTGCCTTCTCCCCGCTCAAGCGCCCTCTGTGGATGATGTGATGCCACACATCGAGTGGGCTGTCACTGAACACACCTTGTAGCCAACTGGCAACCAAGTGAAAGAGGATCGCGCCCAGTGGAGAGCCTGGCAGAATGTTTTATTTGATTCTTTCCCTCCAGGTTTGACTTTATCCTCGATAATGTTGGTGGATCTACTGAAACATGGGCTCTAAATTTTCTCAAGAAGTGGTCAGGAGCCACCTATGTGACTCTGGTGACGCCTTTCCTCCTGAACATGGACCAACTGGGCATTGCTGATGGCATGTTGCAGACTGGAGTCACCATGGGTACCAAGACATTGAAGGTAGGAGACAAATCTTGATTGGTGGGAGTGAGCAGGCGCCTCATACTACTGGGAATTGGCTAGCCCGCTTTCTCTTCTTACCACAGTGGCTGCCAGCCTGGTCGGTCTCTAGACTCACGTGCAGGCTCAAATTCTGACCTCTATTTAGTATCTTTCTGTTTCTAAACCTGGTGTCTTCTCCTATAAGGTAAGGTTGCTAATTTGCTATTTACTGCACTGCTATAAGCATTAAATAAGATAACCCTCATGAAGAGTGTGACACAAGGCCTACGGCATCTTACTAATGCCAGCCTGTGATTGGCTGTTATTGCTTCTCTTGATTCATCTGATATACATTGTTTTTTTCCTGCCCATACCTGGTGATTTTCTTTCTCAGTGGTCTTAAAGCCCAGTCCCTTGTACATAAGGTAGAGATTCACTCGGGCAGTTTCCTGCCTCTGCACTCATGCAACAGTAGATATCCAGTGGTTCCCAGACTGAGCTTTCTCACCTTTAGAGGTCTATGACGTTCAGAACCCTTAAGGAAATTGTACTTTTACTTAGAGGCTATGAATACTGATGGAACAGTCATGCTTTTGCTGTCCCAACATTTCATATTCCTTGTGAACTGCAAAGATCAGCTACTTCAGATTAGTCAGGTTGGCTGTCTTAACAGGCCATTGCTTCCGAGACTGCAATGAATAGTGTCCAAGTTGAATGCCCTCGGGGAGTGGTGGGTCTTGGGAATTAGTGCATATAGCCCCAGTTACAGGACCGAGATTGGGCTTAAGTGTCTGCTCTCTGTTTAATGCCATCACCTCTTGTCACCACAGTGGGAACAGAGCCTGATATAAATTCAGGTTATAAATTAGGGTAATTCTAGGGAATTGAATTAGAGGTGAGATGGTATACATGATAGAAGAAAACAAAGGTAAATGTTCTTCTTTTAACTAGATTAAATACTTCAGATTCAAGGAAAAGGCAGTAGAAAGGCCCTCAAGGTAACAGCTTGTCCCCTGGGTGGACCTAGCCAGCTGTCATCAAACTGACTGTCTTTAGCTTTCCTTCCTTCTCTCTCCTTCCATCATTTTGCTTCTGTTCTTTTGTTATGCATGACTTTTAATGAGAAGCTTAGGGACTGAACTTGGCCTCACACATGTTGAGCAAGAAGTGCCTCCGAGTCACACCCTGAACCTTGAGATGGTTTTGCTTTGTTTTGTTTTTAGATGGGGTTTCATTATGTAGGCCAGGCTTACCTGATCCTCCTGCCTCTACCTCCCAAGTGCTTGGATTACAGGTGTGTGTCACTGTAACTGCTGCTTTTTAAAGAGAACTCGTTATTTTTCTCTTCCGTGTATGTATGCATGGCCTGTATGTGTGGATATGCACATCAGAGGCCACTAGAGCATTCTGGGTGCCTTGGAACTGGAGTTGAGGACAGTTGCAAGCCGCCATCTCGGTGCTGGGAGCCAGACCCATCTCCTCTGCAAGAACAGCAAGTGTCTCAGCTCCCTTAAGGTGCTGCTTCGTGCTGGAAATGAACTTGGGCACCATCAGGAGATTAAGACTTAGTTTTGTTAAAGCTGAAGAGCTGTGAGGAGGCACAGCACAGTTAATTAAGCTCACGAGTGTGTGTGTGTGTGTGTGTGTGTGTGTGTGTGTGTGTGTGTGTGTGTGTGTGTGTGTGTGTGGTGCAGAGGTGAGCCAAGTGTGCTCTGCTTAAGGAAACCATGGGTGGGGGCGTTGTTGGCAGAGGAAGGAATCGGAACTGTTGTTTGTCTGCTGTTAGGGATCAAGTGGTTTGCTTCACAGAGGAATGTGTTTTGAGGGACTTCAGATTTTGTGACCATTTTAGTTCCCCTTTTAGTACCCCAGTTACCAGAATGTTTCACTGTGGTCCTGGAAGCCACAGCAGACCTTAGGAGAGTCAGCTGAACAGGTCTTCTGTGCTTGTCATTTACTGGGTGGGCCCTGTGTGGGGACATCTCAGTGCATCAGTGTCTGGCCACATATGCTGTACAGAGCCTTTTACTGTTAGAATTTTCATGACCCATGCATTCAGTTGTATGACTCCATATGTGGTCAGTGCTCACAGTTTAAGAAGCTTTGCTCTAGAACAGCTATGATCAGATAGACTCCCATCCTTGCAGGTCGTGTGACAGAGCCTGAGCTTAGAGACTGTCAGGGCCAGACTGGCCCCAGTGAACACTCTGCCTTCTCTTTGAACTTGTGTGTAGGAGCAGGCAGGACAACAGCATGGCATTAGGCGTCTTTATCCATCTCTGAGGGCGTGGGCCAGGTTGAGATATCTTGGAACTTTGCTTACCACTCTTTGGATAATATCTGACTCACCTCCTGCATGAAGGAACCACTGCTGAGTGCAGCTTGGGCTAATGATGAGATCCTGCTCAGAAGCAAAAGAGAGTAACAGTTATAAGTGGATGCAGAAGTCTAATGGAACCCTTTCAGTGTAAGATGTTTGCTTATCTAGGGTAGAGAGGTTTTGTTCTACAAAGATCGGATGGCCTGAGATTCATGGTAACTACAAGGGTAGACCCAGAAATAATATAATAGCAACTTCATATCCTTTCTTTGAAGCTTCTTTATTCCTGTCAGAGTCAAAAACAAAAAAATTATGATTGAGTCCTGTCTAAGAGCATGTTTTAGTGACTCTTGTTCTAAAACAGTTTTAACTGTAGTTTCAGTGCCTCCTGTAAACTTTAGTGGGGAATGCCTGGAGGTCTAGGCCCTAATTCTTGTAAGTGAGCAGTTCAGCACATGACACAGACTATGTCAGTCATACATGGAGATGCCTGGGTTGACATGGATAAGTCTTGTTCATGTGCTTATTCCTTTAACACTGTGGAGTATCTGCCCTCCATCAGTTTCTATGCTAAGGTCCTAGCATGCAGTAATGTGTCAACATAATATGGGAAATGGGTTTGTCCTGGTGATGCAGAAAATGCCTTTAGTTAGCTGCGGTTAGGCAGACTTCCTTTCTATGAATTTACCATGATTATTTTCCTTCTTTTAGCATTTCTGGCAAGGAGTGCATTACCGCTGGGCCTTCTTCATGGCCAGTGGTCCATATCTAGATGAAATTGCAGAACTGGTGGATGCAGGAAAGGTAGGTCCATGCAGAAACCCTTTTCCTGGTAACTGTTATTGACATTCTTGTAGACTGTCCACCAGGCCTCATCCCTGGGAACACTCCAAGTGTGTGTGTGGGGGGGGGGGTGTGAGGAGGGTGCAGTGTTTTGTTTCTGTTGCCATGCCATTCATGGAGAAATTTCTCTGTCTGCACAGTAACTTACCCTGTTTAGCCTGCCTGTAAGCCCCTCAAGGCATGCCAGTGACCAAGCCCTAACCCCCAGATTAGTCTAACATCTCCAACCTCTGGAGATGCAGGCAACCAAGCTCTGCTCTAGCAGAAAAAAAAAGCCCAAGATCTAGACACAGAATCCCACTAGTCCCTGAGGTTGCCCCAAGATCATTTCACAGAATCCCATTTCACAGGCAACCCTGGAAAGCTGCCCCTCAAGAAACTCTATAAAGCCAGCCTCCTGCTCAGTTCTCTCCTGCTTCTTTCCTAAACAGAGGCAGTCACCCTCTTGTGACTCTTCCAATAAGTTTCTTGGGTGAGATTTGTTGTGCAGTGTGACTTTGTGGCACCCCTTGACTCCTTAGGGCCAGGATACCTTTCCCTTCAGAGCTGTAACACTTATGCTACCCTCTTGGTTTATAGATCAAGGGACAACCAGGGCATTGCATGATATTCCTAAAGGTACACAGTTAGCGAGTAGCAGAGCTGGGAGCTGAGCTGGGTGACTGGTATTTGGTAATGATCTTTGAAAGATGGAACCCTCTGCACAAAAGGGAGAAGGTGCTTGCAACTTCTCACTGAAACTCCTGGAGCTTCCTCAGTCTGATGGTCCAGGAGGCAAGCCACTTTCCAGATAATAGGGAGAACAGTACTGGATCTCTGTCCCCTACCACCTGGGTGAGAAGTGATTCCTCAGGCCTCCTTTCCAAGGTTAGTGTGTACCAGAACACAGATATACTCAGAAGAGTGCACATATGGGCGAGGATTGATGGGGGCTTGAACAGAGACAAGCAGTTGCTGTTCCCTGACTTCTGGTGGCTGGCCTTTAGGTACTTCATAGAAAATGAACATTGCTGAGAGTTTTAGTTCTCTCTTTTGGGGTAAAGAGGCTTTTCGGGGCTCCTGGCGGGTGCAGGGCTCCCCAGATTTTAAGAAATGAAGTGGCTTTTAAAAAATTCTCTCCTACAATATATTCCAACTACACCTTCCCCTCCCCCCACACCCCTAGTTCCCCTCTACCCCAGATCCTCAGTGGCTGTTTTTTAAACATTTAAGGTTTGTTTGTTTGTTCAATTCTCTTGTAGCCAAGAAACTATATGGTCTGTGATAGCCTGGATTAGTAGGAACTGTTTTTGGTTTTAGGTTTGTTTTGAACCTTTTCATGAACTTCTCAATCTTGTGTGCTGAGTAGAAGCAGGCTCACATTTTGTATTTATAGGCTTCTCCCACATCCCACAGGTATGCTTCCTTTATTGCCACAGAGAACAGAACTATCACTAAATAAGTGAGGGTTTCACGAGGCTGGAGCCCCGTGATCACAGTGTCTGTCCTCCAGGGTGCACACATGATGGTGTTTGTCCTGATGTCTGCTCATGCTGCCAAATGCTTGTCACACTCCCTTGTATTCAAAATATTATGACTTGGTCTCTACTTGGAAATTACTATTTACCCAACAGAGATGAGAGGTGATTTGTATATATGCACCAATTAAATTTGGCAAATAACTAGTAGAAGAGCTCACAAGGGACATGGGAGAAAGAAGATGCCTTTGTGGTGAACCTGAAGGAGGACCAGTGAAGACTGTCTCTGTTTACTGCTAAGGCTGATGGACTTGGGAGTGGTTTTTGACATTGAAGAGCTCTGACCCTGCAGAAGCTGATAGGTGACTCTGGGTACAATGAGACCAGGTGTCTTGTCATGTCCTTGCCATGATCTGAATGTGAGAGATCACTGTCTGCATACTGGGAAATTGCGAGGAATAACAGACATTGCAAATTGTGCCATTAGAGGAGACTTGTTCAGTTCATTCCAGATCTTCAAAGCTCTGAGGGAGGAGCTGCAGTTGCTGTTTGGTGGTGTAAAGACACAAAACAACTTCGCCAACTGCTCTGAGTTAGATGCATATCTTCATAGGAGTCAAAATCTGAAAGTTGAGGTTATTTCAAATAACCACTTCTGACTCCATTCCTCAGTCACGAAGTTCTGCTTGTCAGACAAAACCAGTATTACTAGTTTCTTGAAAATTCCAAAGATATTTTGTTCAAACAGGAGAAGATAAAGGAGTAATGAATAATTTCTCACCTTCCTTTTTGTTTTTAAACACCCTTCTTAAATTCCTATTAGAATATTAAAATGTTCTTCCTTATTTTGTAAATGGCTGCTAATTTTCTTTGCCCAGGTGTGCCAATATTTATTTGATCTTTTTACGCTTCAGTTGATAATCCAATTTTGTTTTAAGTACTAACTGTGAGTCTATCCATCTCAGTTCATGGAAATGCAATTACTGAGCCCAGAGTTTTTGATAAACAGTAAGACAGCCAGCTTTTGAAAACCTAGTCTATGTTTAGTGTTTCTCCGTGGCCGCCTTCTAAAGCCCCCTTTTCTTTTCACTCCCTGTCATCTTGCTTGTTTCGCATCAGGGCTGACTTCCTCTGAAAATGTGAGGAAAATGTGGTGCTGGTCACTTGTAACTTGATCTTTCCTGATTAAAAGCTGGCCGGGCGTTGGTGGCACACACCTTTAATCCCAGCACTCTGTGAGTTCAAGGTCAGCCTGGTCTACAGAGTGAGTTCTAGGACAGCCTCCAAAACAATACAGAGAAACCCTGTTTTGAAAAACAAAAACAAAACACACACACACAAAAACGGTGTCTGGGGCTGAGGAGGTGGCTTACTGGGTGTAGTGCTTGATGCAAGGCATCAGCAGCAGCCATGTAAAAAGGCAGGCATAGTGTGGCCCATGCCTGTGACCTCAGCATGGGGAGGCAGAGACTGGAGGCCCCCAGGGGCTCACTGACCAATCAGTGAACTCCGTCATTTAGAGACTCTGTCTCAAAATAAGATGGAGCAATAGAGGAAGACACTTCTTGTCAACCTCTGGCCTCCATGTGAACACACTTGGTGTATGCCCACACAGAGCAGACCCTGCACACACAAGCATCTGGCTTTAGTGCTATTAATAGAGCCCTGTGTGCTCCAGTAAGCAAAGAGAAGCTGCAGATCCACACTGCCACAACGAAAGGACTCGGCCACATCAGCTCTGTCCTCACACTGTCATTTTGCCTTCTGGCAGGGTGGCATTCTGTAAACATTCTGGCATTAGAGTCCTCTGCCTTCAATGTGTCCACCATTCTCAGGCCCAAGATGAAAAGGAGCAGACATTTACAAGTATGCGGGGACCTCACAGTCCTTTCTCCTCATTGTCACCATGAGGTTTTCTGCTAATAGTAGAATTTCATATTCATATTTACTATAGCTATGCACAATTTGGATCTGAATTTTAAGACTGATATAATATTTTCATTGTCTTAGTCAGGGGCTGGCACAATATATAGTCAGTAAGCTAAATCCAATCTTAGGCATATTTTTGTATGCCCTTAAGCTAAGAAAGACTTCTGTATTTTAAAAACATTTTAATGTGTTTATTATGTGTTTGTATGTGTATGTGTGTGTGTATGTGTATAGTGTGTATGTGTGTAATATATGTGTTCATATATGGGCAGGTATGAATGCTCCTGTGTAAGTATATATACCTGTGGTGTCCAGAGATCAAAATGGAGGGCCTTCCTGTCCACCTTATTTTTTGAGGCAGGGTCTTTCACTGAATCTTGAGCTGGACTGGCTGGTCAGAGTGCTCCAGCTACCTCCCCCAGAGCTGGGTTACAGATGCATGCTGTCATGCCCAGCTTTTTACATGGGCAGCTGGGCTCCGAACTCAGGCCCTTGTCCCTGTGCCTACTTTACCTACTGAGCCATCTCTCCAGCCCCAGGTTTATGAAGTTTTAGGTGTTTATTTTATTTTATTTTTGTGAATCTGGGTTTTTGCCTGCATATATGTCTGTGTACCACTTGTGTGCCTGATACCTGTGCAGGCCAGAAGAGGGCATCAAGTCCCCTGGAATCAGAGCTACAGACAGTTGTATTGGGACTTGAACCTGGGTCCTCTCGAAAAGCAGCCAGTGCTCCTCTAACAGCTGAGTCATCTCTCCAGCTGCCAGAACAGCACAACACAAAACAAAAACTTTGTAGATCATGTGTGGCCCACAACATTGTTCCCTATTTAGTCCATTACTGTTTGCTAATTCATTCCTCCCTCAGTTCCAGGTAGGACAATTGCCACAAGTTCAAAACCAGCCTGGGCTGTAATATGAGACCCTGTCTTTAGAACAACAACAGCAACAAGAAATCAAGATAGAGAGGAGTTGTAGTTTCCTAACCATAAAGGAGTAGAAAAATAAGAGAGAAAAGTTCCCTGATCCTTTTCCTAGGCACACAGTTAACCATAGAAACTGTAACCATAGAAACTGGTAATATATAGAAAAGGCAGAGAGGAGCCCTGTGCTGGTGACAGGATGGCAGGGAGCAGCCTTCCCTGCTAGTGTTCCCTGTTCCTGCAGCTGCTTCCCAGGCCATCAGACATTAGTGTGAAAACCACTGTTCTGATGGATCAAAGGATCGTGGTTGCTAGAGTATCAGAGTGTAATGGCTTTCTGGCTGGGCCTGCAGTTCTCAGCATTCTCCTAAGCACAATGAACATTTCCTGTTTTTACACTATGTAACAAACTGTTCTGGGTTGGGAATGAAAGAGAAAACTTGGTACCTCTCTACAGTCCTCAATAGGTAGCTGCTGGTAAGAATGACTCTGTACTGGGGGAAAATATAATTGTTTATGTTTGCTTATGTGTGCACATTAGCTTCTGATTGAAACAAACTACCACAAACACCATGGCATAAAGTAACACCCATTTATTATTTTATAATCTTGGAAGTCAGTAGTCTGAAATGGTCTGGCAGACCTGTGTCCCT